TTCCAAGACCCCGAGGGCATAACAGCACCTTCATCACCAGATGATGGTCACCAGCACAAGCTGCAGCAACCTGGCCTGCACCCCTACACACAACCAGGCTTCAGCACAGCAAATGCAGCACATTCATGACAACACTCCACAGCCAACGCTACGCCGACAAGATATCCGAGGAGATCGCGCATGGAATGGTCCTTGCGCTGACTTTGGCCGCACGTCCTCTGTCGGCCCACGACTCGATTCTCAACGCTGGGCTGCTGCGACACCTCGAGCAAGGCATCGCTCTCGCCAGGGCAAGGGTCAAATACCTTCAGCGCCAAAAGGCGGTCAGCCTCAAGAAGGAGGTGGTTTTGGCTGACCCGGTGTACTGGAAAAGCCTGCCGCCACTCCACAAGAGGCTCGAGTTCTTCCAGGACAACACGGACAAGCTGCATGAAGCCCGGCGATGGCGCTCTGTGGTCATAATCACCCTTTGTCATGGGCCCACAGCGACAATAATGGACATAGTGGCTCACCTGGAAGCCTCTGCCCAAATCATAGCTGTTGTCAAGGGCAGGTTCCTACAAGAGATTCTTGCTGCCATCAAACAACTGTACCAACTTGAGGGTTGGCAATGGACTGTCACAGCCCTGGCTACTGCAGCAACAATCCACATTGCTGTGAATGGACAGAAGCCTGCTGGAGACATCCTTGACAGGCTTGCTTATACATGTCAGGCAGGACCTGGGCAGTTGAGCCCCCAAAGCCTAGCTTGTAGGCCTGGATTCAAGGAGTTGGTGTCAAGAAAATGGAGGCTCCCACTGTTGCAGACCATCAGGCTCAAGACCAAGAACTTGGGACTTCGAGTCTGCTTGGCCAAGTCTGATGTCCGGAGAGGAAATTGCCAACAATGTGAGTGATGAAGCCCAGTTGCGACTGCCCACAATCTGGCAGATGGGCGGCGGAGTCTGCTGCTAGCTACGAGTCTGTGGGGAGCTCCTTCTCCACTTGCGAGCTATGGCGGCAGCAGAAGCAGGCGGCACGCAAGGCGAGGCGAGCAGGCAGAGCGGCAGCTGGGGCAGACTACATGGTGACAAGGGCTTGGGTGTCCGCGACAGTCAAAGACCACCTCCTTTTGACGCTAGCTATGATCGTGTAGCCCGGAATGTCGCTGCTGAGGTTGGCAGCTGCTGTACAGAAAACGTGACTTTCCCGGTAATCGCAGTCACCTGCTTGCCAAAGTTCCTGCTCCTCTTTGACCGGTCGTTGCCATCCCAAAACCAGCTTGTTGCCACGCTGGCGGCGCAAGGGTCTCGGACAGGGCTAGTGATCACGGCAGGCTACGCTAGGAGCTGGTGACGCCGTACCAGGCAAGTCCAGCGCATCCACCGAGGAGGATGGCAAACGCGGGGGCGAGGTTGAACCATTCGACCGCGGTGAAGCTCCAGGCCAGGATCACGCCCCACCATGGGTCGGAGGTGAGCGGCCCGGCTGTCGAGGTCGCGGGTGCCTCGCCCGTCGCTGGCGTGTAAATGTACCCGACTGCAAGTAGACGGGACGAGGGGCAAGCGAGGTTTTGGCGTAGACGGGTGAGACGAGCGCACAGAGAGTGGCGGTCCGCCCCACGTTGAGCACTCACCGAGGAACAGCTGCCACACCGCGGTGAAGACGAGGCCGGCGGCAGCCGCGTTCAGTCCCCTGAGAACGGATTTGGCCGGAGCAAACTTGCGCCAGCGGTTGTAGAGCGGCAGCAGCGCGAGCTTGGCGAGGATGCCGGGTGCAAAGATGCCAAACCAGCCAAGAAAGGCGCCCAGAACCGGGTTCGTCGGATTGCTGAGGATGCCCAGGTAGACGGCAAAGTTGAAGTTGGGTCCGGGCATCGCCTGGAGCACCGCGAAGCCGAGAAGAAAGTCGCGCGGTTCAATCTGTCGACGAAAGCGTCATTGGGCGGTGGGACGACAGGCGTCAGTATGAGAGGGTGAGGAAGGGTTTGCGGTCGATCCTCGCACCTACCCAGCCTTCAAAGCCGGACATCCCGTCGAAGTGCGATAGCGCTAGCGTAAGTACGGGCACTTGGACGGACGTTGGGTACGGAAGACGGCGTGCTCACCATAGTCGACGGTGTAGCCGCGAAGCAATGGGATCACCACGGGTCCCCCTCCAAAGATTGTCACGCCGGCAATGACCATGTTGGTGAGGAAATCAAGCAGTCGTGGCGGATCCCTGAGCAGCGCGCGCACTACGACGAGGACGACGACGAGCAGCACGAAGAGAAGACCTGACAAGACCGCAGCTTTGGCACCGGGAACCTGGAGCTGCGCCTGACGCTGCGTGTCTGGCACGACCTCGACCGGTCCGGCGGGGCCGCTGATGCTGCTGGAAGCAGCCGAACGCTCTGTATGGGCGGCCCTGCTGCGGAGGCCGATGGATGCGCTGGACGACGTTGGCGCGAGCTTCTTGTCCGCCCCGTTATCGTCCGAGGGGCCGTTTCGGTCCGCTGCCTGGTCGGCTGCGCTGCCAGGCGCCTGATCGCTGGGGAGCGCCTCGAGCTCGATGTCATCAGTGGTGTTGGACCCGTCCGGGTCCTGTCGGACATCGTTCTGCCTGCGAGCGGACGAGCGCCGGGACGAGGCCGCGACGACAGTGGTCCAGATCTTTGCGCGATAGTCGAACACGAGGGTCAAGAGGCCGCCGCAGACGACCAGGGTGGGGTACATCCATGGCGCGTGGTAGCAGATGCCAAACGAGGCCGAGCCCAGGACGATGATGCGGGTCAAGCGATCGGTAATGGCGCCCCTTGCGAGCTGCATGGCGGCGAGCGCGATGAGGCCGACGGCGGCCGAGTTGAGGCCTGTAAAAAGGGCCAGGACGATGGCGGGGAGCTCGTCGGGGAAGGCCTTGACCGCGGCGCCGATGGCAGCCATGGCGGCCGCCCCCGGCAGTGACCAGATGAGGAAGGCGAGCAGGCCGGCCAAGGTGCCATGCTTGGCCACGGCAATGGAAAAGGCGAGCTGGGTCGAGCCCGGACCGGGAAGGGCGTTTCCGAGGGCGAAGAGGTCGGCAAACGTGGTGGCATCGAGCCACTGCAGCCTGTCGACGAAGCGCTTCCGCAGAATGACGACGTGCACTCCCGGACCGCCGAACTGTCGTCGGGCAGCGGATTGCCATCGTCCGGTGAGGAAGGGGAGGAGCGTGGAGGATACGAGCGACGTCGGCGCCAGGGTCAGGCCGGATAAGGGACGGCAAGCACGGTCAAAGGCAATGAGGGAGCGAGCGGGTCAAGGAACGGTGTCCTTACCGAGGTAAAGCCAAGGTCCCAAAAGTGGCGGACCACCTCGATCAAGGGGTTGGGGGGCCTCGCCGAGGTCGACATCGTCTCGTTGTTGGGCGGCGCCGGGCGCGCTGGGCGATCTGGTGGTGGTGCAGGCGGTGGCTGGCGGCAGAGGTCGAAGGCAGGAGGTTATGACGGCTTGGCTATTGTGGGAGCGAGGGAGGCCCTTTATACGATCATGGCTGGCCAGAGTGATCCTTGATTGCATCGCGACGGTCGGGGTCGAAGGGGTCCGGCCCGTCGGCGAAGGCCAAGAAGCAAGCAAGCAAGCACAAGCAAGCAAGCAAGCACATCCGAGCAAGCAAGCACAAGCAAGCAAGCAAGCAGCCAGGTTGGGTTCGGCTCTGATAAAGGTGGCCGCGGCCCTTTTTGCGTGCTCTTGTAGCCGGCCTCTTTGGTGCCAAGCCCACACCGTCCCGTTGGCCCACCAAGCACGTGCGAGGGCCTGCAGATCGTTGGATTTGAACAAAGATGCGAGGCTGCATGCCCCGCACAGAGCAGTCGCGCTGGCCTAATATCCGAAATCCGAAGGTCGATCAAGGCGGGGCGGGTGCGTGGTCCGTGACCTCGGTGCAGCCTAGGCCGCTGGCCTGCCAAGATCCTCCACACAGCGACGGCCGGGCTGACGAGGCCCAGACCCTGGGGAGCCAGGGGCAGGCCAGGCCAGGCCAAAGCCCCTAGCAGACCAGACCTGCGCCACTTGCCACCACCACCGCCATCATCACCATCAAGGCACTTTCTACCGACCTCTGACCCCAAAACATCCCATCCCTCTGTTCCTTACGGCCGCTCGCCTCCATCCTCGCGCCGACGGTGCCTTGCACTTCTGCCGCCAAACCACTGTGCCAGTCACCGGCTCGAGGGCGAGCATGACGGCCATGTCTGCTGACGCTGCCTCGAAGCAGCGTGCGCCCGGGCGGTGCCATATGCATGGTTCGTGCGGTAAGAAGAACGTCTTCAGCCCCAGTCTGCCCTGCTCGGTCCCCGGCATCGCTGCCCAAGATCCCCAAGATCCGCAGGATCGCACTGCGCTCGTGGATGTGTGCGGCGCCGACTTCGCGACCGGGCCCGTCTGCTGTACTGCCGACCAGGTAGAGAGTCTGGGGGCCAACCTGCAACAGGCAGAGGCCCTCATCTCGTCCTGCCCCGCCTGCCGCAACAACTTCCGAAGGCTGTTTTGCACCTTTACCTGCTCGCCCAACCAGTCTCAGTTCCTCGACGTCTCTGCCACGCAAAACGTCACTGGCGACGACGGCAAGCCCTCCATCGCCGTCAAGAGCGTAGAGTACTACATCGACCAGGCCTGGAAGGACGCCTTCTTCGACAGCTGCAAGGACGTCAAGTTTGGCGCCAGCAACGGCTTCGCCATGGACCTCATTGGCGGAGGCGCCCGCGATGCCGACGCCTTCCTCAAGTTCCTGGGCGACGAAAGGCCTTTGGTCGGCAGTCCGTTCCAGATCAACTTTCCTCGCGCAATCAGCAGCGCACTCGCAGACGCTGGCGCCGATCCTCACCCGGTCGACTCTCTCCGGAACTCGACCCTCCCGCCGCCGTTGCCGTTCAACGAAACCCCACGCCACTGCAGCGACACAGACCTCCTGTCTCGCTGTGCGTGCGTCGACTGCCCGTCCACCTGCGCCGCCCTACCGCCTGCGCCTCTTCCACCGACCGGCGGCCCGACATGCGAGCTCGCGGGCATCTCGTGCTTCGCCTTTGCCGTCTCGCTCGCCTATCTCGTGTTGGCCGTGGCTTTCTTTGTTGGCTATGGCACTGCCACCAGGATGCGGCGGGGGAGGAGGGGCCCTCAACCGAGGCAGCGGAGCAGTGGATTCAGCGTCTTCAGCGACGCCGGCGACTTTGAACGGGTCCGGCTCACGTCAGAGGACACTCACGACCAGGGCATGGGCAGCGTCCGCCTTTCTGGCGAAGCCGCGGCCGCTTCCAACGGGTCCAGTGTCCGCAGCCGCGACCTGATCGGCGCCCGAGGCCTGGGCCACTATGGCGAGCAGACGTCGAGTTCAAGCTCGGCTCCCGATGGCTTTGGTCGTGGCATCGGCACGGGCATCGGCCTTGGCACCAGCGACGCCCTCTCCGCCTTGGAAGTGTCTCAGCCGCGCAAGTATGTCCTCAACAATCTGCTCTCGCGCTGCTTCTATCGCCTCGGGCTGTTCTGCGCAAAGAGGCCTTATCTCACCTTTATGCTCGCCGCAATCTTCGTCGGCGTCTCTAACATCGGCTGGAACAAGTTCGAGGTCGAGACGGATCCAGTCGGCCTCTGGGTTGCGCCCGACTCCAAGAGCAAACTTCAGAAGGAATACTTCGACGCCGAGTTCGGCCCCTTTTACCGACCGCAGCAGGCCTTTGTCATGGACTCCTCTACTCGTCAACATCTTGATCAGCTAGCGGGAGATCCGAGCCAGCCCCTGCTCTCCTCGCTGCCCCCTGCCTTGTCCTGGGACCGCCTCAACTGGATCAAGGACCTCGAGGCCGACGTCCGCCAGCTCAGTTCGGTCCCCAACGGCTATACGCTCGACGACGTCTGCTTCTCTCCTGCTGGCAAGGGTACGCCTTGCGTGGTCCAGAGTCTGATGGGCTACTTCCAAGACGACCTGGACGGCTTCGGCCTGACTCCCGACAACTGGCAGTCGACCCTGGACCAGTGCGCCGCTTCTCCCGCCGAGTGCCTGCCCGTCTTTGGGCAGCCCTTGAAGCAGAACATCGTCCTCGGTGGGATACCAGAGGTGGTCCGTGAGCCGCAACACGACGGTTCCGACAAAGGTGGCGTCGTTCTGGACCGACCCGGGCGCGCCAGCGACGCTCGGGCGGCGGTCGTCACCTGGGTCCTCGACAATAGCCTCAACCAGACCGAACTGCGCAAGGCCGAAGAGTGGGAAGACGCCTTACTGACCTTGCTCCTCCAAGTGTCCGGAGCACAGAAGGTATCGGCCGGCCCGGGGGGTCCTGCCACGGAGCACGACCTGTCGCGCAGACGTCGCGAACTCGGCCTCGAGCTCTCCTTCAGCACCGGCGTCAGCCTGGAAAACGAGATCGGAAGCAGCAGCAACACAGACGTCGGCATCGTTGTCCTCTCGTATCTCTTGATGTTCCTCTACGCAGCCTTGACGCTGGGCGGTGGCGGACCTCGCAACGTCGAGCATGGCACCCGGCCAGACCAAGCCGCAACGGGCCTCGAGGATACGGCGGCCGCTTCCTCCTCGACTTGGTCATCCGACTTTGTCCTGTACTTGAGGGGTCGCAGGAGAGCCGCTGCAGCTCCGCCGCTCTTCCCGAGGCCGGCGCCCGGTGCGAGGCCGGCTTCAGGGCTTCTGGCGATCGTTGGGAGCTTCTGCACGCGCTCAAAATTCACCCTCGGGCTCTTTGGCATCGCCATGGTGCTCGTCTCGGTGTCCTGCGCGGTCGGCATTTTCAGCGCCTTCAACGTCAAGGTCACCCTGATCATTGCCGAGGTGATCCCCTTCATGCTGCTGGCTGTCGGGGTCGACAACATCTTTTTGCTCTGCAACGAGATGGACAAGCAGGACGTCTGCACAGCTCGCGAGGGCCCTTTCGGAACCGGCAGCTTGCCGCGCTCCCTCGGAGGCGCCGCAGGGATGTTGCCCAGTAACGCCGGGGCCAGCGACGAACGCGACGAGATACACCTCATCGACGGCGGCGACCAGGTGGGCTATGGGGGCCCTGGGCACTCCCTTGCCGACGACGGTGTCCGACTCCCATCGCACGAGCGGGCAGCCCGCGCGCTCTCGCGCATGGGTCCCTCGATTCTCCTCAGCGCATCTACGCAGATTGTCGCGTTCCTGCTGGGTGCCATGGTGCCCATGCCGGCGGTGCGTAACTTTGCTCTGTACGCCGCCGGCAGCATGCTGATCGTCGCGACGATGCACTGCACCGTCTTCGTTGCCGCCATGGCGCTCGACGCGGATCGGACCGAGAGCGGTAGGATCGACTGTCTTCCGTGCGTCAAGGTTCGACAAGCAGTCTCATTGCCGGAAGGCAGGTCTGTCGGCGATGCCTCGGGCTCGACCGTGAGTCCTTCGGACCCCGGCCCTCTTTCCCGCTTCATCAAGTTCTCCTTCGCCCCCGCGCTGTTGCGTCCGACGGTCAAGCGGGCGGTCATCGCGGCGTTTGTCGGCGTCACGGTGCTGGGTGCGATCGGCGTCCGGCGGATCGAAATGGGCCTGGACCAGAGACTCGCCCTCCCCTCTCAGTCGTACCTCAGGGCCTACTTCGACGCTGTTGATGGCCTGCTGGACGTCGGTCCTCCGGTCTACTTTGTCGCAGCAGGTGTCGATCCGACCGAGCGCAAGGGCCAGCGGGCGCTCTGCGGCCGATTCACCACCTGCAACGACCTTTCGCTCGCCAATTGGCTCGAGGGCGAAAGGAGGCGGCCGGAAGCCTCGTTCCTCGCCGAACCGGCAAGCAGCTGGATCGACGATTTCCTGCAGTGGCTCAACCCAGTGTTGGAGGGCTGCTGCCGCGTTCGGAAACGGGACCCGACCACCTTTTGCGGGCCTACCGAGAGCGAATACGCCTGCCAACCCTGCTTCCAGGACCGCCAGCCGCCATGGAACATCACCATGGACGGCCTGCCAGAGGACGGCGAGTTCCTCAGGTACCTGCAGCAATGGCTGCACAGTCCGACCAACGAGGACTGCCCCCTGGGTGGACAGGCAGCCTACTCGTCGGCGCTCAGCCTCAGGTCGGATGCCGAGCAGCGCGTCACCGGCGTCGAAGCCTCCCACTTTCGCACCTACTTCCGGCCTTTGCGCTCGCAGGCCGACTTTATCCACGCCCTCGAGGCTGCCGAGCGCATCTCTGAAGAGGTTTCCGCCCGGACCGGCGCACGGGTGTTCCCCTACAGCCTCTTTTTCGTCTTTTTCGAGCAGTACACCTACCTCGCCTCGATGGCGACGCGGATCCTGGGCGCCGCTGCCGTCGCCATCTTCGCGATCACCACGCTGCTGCTGGGGAGCTGGCGCACCGGTCTGCTCGTCACCGTCTGCGTCGCCAACGCCGTCTTTGGCGTGGCCGGCATGATGGGCTACTGGGGCATCCAGTTCAACGCGCTGACGCTCGTCAACTTGAGCGTCTGCTCCGCCATTGGCGTCGAGTTCTGCGCCCACATCGCGCGCGCCTTTATGCGGGCGCCCGGTTCGCTGCCGCGTTCGCACCCCATGTCCCAGAAGGAGAGGGACGAGCGGGCCTGGGCCGCTTTGGCCGACGTTGGAGACTCGGTGAGTGTCGCGAGTCATCCATGCGGGGCAGTAGTGCCGTGCGACGACCCGGCGCAACGCTTTTACGACCGCGACTGCGACCGCGACCGAAGCTGACCCTGGCTCGTCACCCACGTCCCCTCCACGTCCGATGCCGATCAGGTGGTCAGCGGCATCTTTTCGACCAAGCTGCTGGGTGTCGGCGTGCTCATTTTCACCAAGTCGGACCTGTGAGTGCGGTCCCTTGTCGCTACGCTACGCAGGCGGGGCCTCGTCACCGCTGACGCGATAAGAAAGCCTTCTTCGTCCGCCGTCTCCCCCCTGTGCCTGGTCCCTGCTTCCAGGCTCAAGCTCTACTACGCGCGTACGTGGCTGAGCCTCATCGTGCTGGGTTTCTTGCACGGCCTGGTGCTGTTGCCGGTGTTGCTGAGCCTGTTCGGCGGCAGGGGCTGGAGCAACGGCGAAGACGAGAACGACGTCAAGCGCCGCCTCCTCCGAGCCGGCGACGAGTATCGCCCTCTGTTGGGCGGCGAAGAGGACGAGGCGAGCTCTGACGCGGACGACCATGGTGGCCGATAGCGACTCTGCCGCAGAGAAAGTCCCCCTTCCCTCCTGGGCGCCGTCTCTCGTCCGTCCCCGCACTTGCTATTGCGCTGTCTGGTTGGCCAGGATCTTTCGCCTTTCTCCCTCGAGCTAGACAGATGAGGCGAGGGCAGTCGATGGTCCGAGTTTCGCATCAGCAAACGGTGTTGGGCATCTCGACCGCATCGCCGGCAGTCTGACCAGGCCTCGATCGACCGACCGTACTCACCACCTTGACGACACGATTCCAGCTGTTGGCCTTCGCTTGCGCGCCATTGGGTATGGGCCCGACGTTGGTGCCGTCGACGAAAGAACGCAGCTGTTGGTGATCCAGGTTCGGCACGTTGGTCGACGCGGGATCGTAGCCGGGACCAGACTGGTTGCAGGTAGGATGGCAAGACGACGGCGCGCGCGGTGAGCATGCTAGCAAAAGAGGCCTGCTGCTCCACGAGGACCGAACGAGGGCCGTTTGATGCGACTTACGATGACGACCTCGTCCAGAACGATGATATGTGAGCCATGCCACCTGCATGGCAGCCTGTGGGGGTTGGGTGAGGGATGACAACAACGAAGAAGGCCATCAGCAAGCCGCTAGGGTGCGCAAGAAGGCGGGCGCCGGGACGCCGCCGTGGCAGTCTGCAACGGCTGGCTCACGTCTTGCTGAGGGCATCAAATACGAGCTGGCCGATCTCTGAGACTTCCTTGCCGCCCAGCTTTGCTGCCTTTGTCAGGCTCTGCTTGACGGCGTGCGCCTCCCTGGCCTGGGCCACGGCCAGAGACACGGGATGCGTGGGCGTCAGGCCTTGGGTTGGATCTGGCCGAGGCGCTGCATCGGACTGTGTGCTGGAGCTGTTGGGCTGCTGCTGCTGCTGCTGCTGCTGCGGTGACGGGATGAATTCGACCTTTTTGATCTCGGAGATTTTGACAATCTTGAAGCCAGTCGAGGCGGGGGCCGATGTGTTGGGCGAGGAGCGATTGCGAGTGGCGTGGAGGGCAGCGGCGGCGGCGGCGGGTGCCGATGCGAGCAGGGTGGGCAAGGGTTCCGGCGACGTTTCGAGGGCCACTGCGCCGAGGGAGGGATCGTAGGCCCAAAGTTTGCCGGTGAGCTGGCGCGCGGGCCGGGAGCCAGCGGGAGGAGAAGAGGAGCTGGGTGCCGCCGCGGGTGGGGAGAGGGTCAAGCGTACATGGTGGCCGAGGAGCTTGTCGAGGCTGTTTGACATGGTGAAGGAGAGGGAGCGAGGTGCACGCAGCACAGACCCGGCGGTGGCTGGCCTGGACTGGAGGGCAACGAAAAGAGTGTCGAGGATCAAGGAGATGGAGCCAAGCGGCGGCAGGCGAGCGAGGCGACGAAAGTGCACGTGGGAGCGGCAGGGTGCAAGGATGGGGCGAGCAGAAACGTAGCTGGTCGTTGTCGGGAGCGGGAGTACAAGGGGCTCTGCCAGGACCGAGTTGCAAGAGAGTAAGAGAGAGAGAGGGAGAGTGGTAGTGAGGTGGTGCGAAGGAAGCAGAGGGGCGTCGCTGGGTCGGGGACTGGACCTGGCTGGTGCGCCCTGGCGCGCAGCAAGTCTCGTCTGGGCTGGGCTGGAGGCTGGGCTAGCAAGGGGCTGGCTAGCAAGCAAGGCTGGCTGGGCTAGCCTGGCTAGCAAACAGGCCAAGCTCAACGGAACCGAAACGCTCCACCCCCGGCCCACGACTACTGGCGCCTGACGTGCCTGCGCACCCAGCCTCGCTACCACCACTCTCCTTCGCCACCTCTCCGTCGGCTGGCCAACCAAACTCGAGAGCACACAACCGCACTCGCGCTCTGGCCAACAACATGTCTTCGAGTCGCCATCCCGAACACGAAACTCGCACCGCCACAGCCGGTCGCAGCGGCGGCAGCTCCGCACACCGACACCACCCCCGCGACAGTGACAATGATCCTGACCCTCGATCCGACCACGACCACCGCCATCACCGACATGAACACCGATCCTCGAGCCGCAAGCGCAGCCCAGATCCGCACGATGACCGCGACCGCGACCGCGACCGCAAGTCTTCCCGCTCGCACCGCCACGCAGATCGCAGCACCCACCACGACACCCACACCCGCGATGAGGGCACCAGCAGACGGCACCGCGACCATCACCATCGGGACAGGGACGCAGATCGAAGCTCGCATCGCCATTCCACCAGCTCCTCTAAGCGGAGGGAGACTTCCGAGGAGCGTCGCGAGCGAAAGGCCGCCAAGCGCGCAAAGCGCCGGAGGGAGCTCGACGAGTACAAGCTCGACGACGACGACGAAGACTCGGCCGTCGCCCAACGCACCGCTGCAGCCGAGCTCATGATGTACAGCGCAGAGGACAACCCCTTCAACGACGCCAACCTCGGACAGAAGTTCACCTGGGGCAAAAAGGAAGAAAAGGATCGCAAGCTCGGCCTCTCAAAGAGGGAGGCCGAGCTCAGAGACGCGCAGCGCAGGCAAGAAGCCATGGCAGAGATCGAAAAGCTCAATGCCAAACGCGCAGAGAGGGAGAGGGAGGCGGCCATTCGCGAGGAAGAGGAGGCTCGCATGGCCCGCCTCGCCGAGTCCGCCCAGATGGCAGAGTGGGTCGCCAAAGAAGACGACTTCTACCTCGAGCAGTCCAAGCGACGCGCCGCCATCCGGATCAGGGAGAATCGCGCCAAACCCATCGACATCCTCAGCATCAACCTCAAGTGGGCGGACCCCCACCTCGGTCACCGCAATGCGGGCAAGGCAGCGCAGCTCAACACGAGCGAGGCTCAGGACGTGGCCGAAGACGCCGACGATGTCGTCGACGACGACGATGACGACGATGACGAGGCTGGCCTCGAGATCGACCTGGAGGAGCCGTACAACATCTTTGAGGTGAGCCCGATGATGACGCACCCACGGATGTGCGAACGAGACCAGTCAGCCCCGAGCAGCCCCGTGCTAAAGTGATGCTGCCTCTGTTCCGGTCAGAATCTCACCTTGGAAGAGACTCAAGAGCTCCATCAGGACGTCAAGATGTACCTCTCTTTGGAAAAAGTCGAGGCGAACCTCGAGTTCTGGCGGGTGAGTCCTACCGCCATGCAGTGCCCACGCCGCCGGGTGACGCGGAGGCTGACAGATCGACCCTGTGAATGCCGCGTCCCTCCCGCCGTATTGTCGCCGTTGCTCTCCAGTCGATGCTCATCGTGTGCGACGACAAGCTCGACGAGCTCAGGGAAGCCGCTGGTCAGGATGCGCCGGGTGGCAGCTTTGCGCCTGGCTCCCGCCTCGACGCCGCGGAAAAGACCAAGATCAACGACATGCTCTCTGTCAAGTCGACCGACGAGCTCATGACGCTCCAAGAGCAGGTCCGCTCGAAGCTCGCGTCGGGCGAGCCAGTCGACGTCGAGTACTGGGAGCGGGTGCTCAAGTCCATCGTCGTATGGCGCGCAAAAGCCAAGCTGCGAGACATGCACGAGGTCGTGCTGTCCAACCGGATCGAGTACCTCCAGCGAAAACAGAGGGACGAGGCGCTCCGTCAACAGAGGAACCTTCTCAGCCAGCTGGGCGACGACGCTGTCCGCGACCAGAAGGATGCCGACCGCATCGCCGCGGTCGACCAGAGCCTCCAGGCAGAGCGGGACGCGGCCGAGGCGGCCGAGCTCGAGGGGCTGTACGATGCCGACGAGATGGAGCCGGAACCCGTCGACTACAGCAAGCTGCGCTACGACGACCGACAGCTGCCCGTCTACACTGTCGAAGAGGACCGGAAACGCATCGTCGAGGCGCGCAGGCGGGTCGTCGGGGCCGCCTTCATTCCCCGGGCTCGCGGCGACGACTCGATCGTAGGCGACGACGGCGATCCGGCCATGGCCATGTTCCGCAAGGAGGCCAACCGTGCGCTCGACGTCGAGGAAGAGACGTTCAACGCCGACGAGAACCTGGCGCGCAGGGTCTACCAGTGGGAGGACAAGTACCGGCCGCGCAAGCCGCGCTACTTCAACCGGGTCCACACAGGCTACGAGTGGAACAAGTACAACCAGACCCACTACGATACCGACAATCCGCCGCCCAAGATTGTTCAGGGCTACAAGTTCAACATCTTTTACCCGGACCTCATCGACAAGAGCGTCGCGCCGACGTACAAGATCATCAAGGAGCCGGACAACCAGGATACGGTGCTTCTCAGGTTCACGGCGGGACCGCCGTACGAGGACATTGCGTTCCGCATCGTCAACCGAGAGTGGGAGTACTCGCATCGCCGCGGCTTCCGCAGCAGCTTTGATCGAGGCATCCTGCAGCTCTACTGTGAGTGGCTGCTTTAAGCGTCGGCAGCGTTGCGAGAAAACGGCGGCACTGACGCTGACTGGTGCTTTGATCTGCCGTCGGCGGCGCGTTTCCCTGACCTTGGCAGTCAACTTCAAGCGCCTTCGATATCGGAAGTAGAGGCGGCCCCATGGGATGTTGCCGGCGCCAGCGATGCTGCTCCTTGCCGGAACGATGTCCGGTCCACGGTCCAGCTTCAAAATACGTGCCACAGCGAGATCTTGCCGTCCCTGCCACCGGCGGCGAGCGCCGACTGCGTTTGGCTGATTTCGAGCGGACGCCGCTGCGTGTCTTCCCCGCTGTGGTGTCCGAGGTCGTCTTCGACGTCGTCGTCTGAGTCGACGCCGGGCTGCTGCCCTCTGTGCTCGAAAAAGGCCAGCGTCTCGACCGTGTCGCGGTGGTAGTCGAGCGAGCCTAGCTCTTGCAGAGTCGCCGACGAGTGGAGGCGTATTCTGTTTTGTCTCGAGGTCGAGGAGATGGATGCGGACAGGACAATATGGCGGCTTAGTCCTACCTCGCGCGTGGCCGCTAGTTCGTTGCGTGGCGGGACTGGCCGACTCACCTCCCGTCCCAGCCGGCGGCTGCGATGACCTTGTCGTCGTTGCGGACAGAGACAGCTGCACGTCCTGGTTTGCCAGTCTCGCTGATTAGGGGCTGGGTGTCGGCGTCCTGGAGACATCAAGGAGGGAAGCTCTGTCGGCGTTGGTACCGCATCGGTCGGGTGCGGCGTCATAGTGGACCTACCCAAATGCTGAAACGCGATATGCGATCGTCTGCGCCCACCGAGACGCCATGCTCGCCGTCGTCGGTCAGGGAGATATCCATGACTGGGGCCGCAGGTTGTGAGCACCGCATCCGTCGGTCGGTCAGTCAAGTCGCGGCAAGAGGGCGGGCGTGGCCGGAGAGTACGGGCGCGACTCACCCGACTCGGAATGAAGGCGGCGCTGCCACGCCAGCGTCCAGCCCGTTGGCTGGTCGTGGCTCCACAGCTTGACGTAGCCGTCCTCGTAGCCGACCAGGCAGGCGAGCGAGCCGTGCGGGGTTCGGCGTGGCCGCAAGAGGCGCAGCGACATGATGATGGGTTGGCGGTGGCCCGGCTTGGCAGCAATGTCGGGTTTGGACACGGCCTGGTGGATCCGGTTGCCGGTGGGGAGGTGGAACACGTCGAACCACGCCGCGTCGAGGGTGTGTGGCACGGCGATGAGCGCTTGGAAGGGAGGGTGGGTGTCGTCGTCGTCGATGGTGGTGGCGGCGTGCGCCGGTGGGTTTGTTAGCAGGAGGGAGAACCTGGCAAAGTTGAGCGCGTTGACCTCGAGCTGGCAGACGAGGGTGGGGGTTGGGAGTGACTGGACGAGGCGCGAGGGGATCGAGATGCTGTGGGGGGCGGTGTGATTGGGTATGGCTATGGCATCGGCGCCGGCGGCGGCGGCGGCACGGTGGCCGCGGTGTGTGTTGGCGAGGCGCCAGAGGGCGAGGCGGTTGTCTCTGCCATGGGTGATTGCGAGGTTGCCGTGGAGGTTTACGCCGAGGATGGAGTCGGAGTGCGGGGACCAGAAGGCGTGCTGGCGGTAGTGGTCGAGGTGGGTGACCGAGACGCGGCCGATTGCGTCGCCGGCGATGAGGAGCTGGGTGTGTGAGTCGACAAAGAGGTGCTGGATCGAGTGGGGCGAGTGATGGCGGAGGACCCAGAAGGGGGCGGGCATCGGCACCGTTGCAACAGTGAGGATTATCGCTGGGAGGGCCCAAGGTGTGAGGGGTCGGGCCAAGGTGAGGAATGAGGTGGCGGTGGTGGTGGTTGGTGGGTCAGAGGCAACAAAGGTCGAGGCGGGCGAGGCAGCGTCAGTCTTTCGTGTTCTTACGAGCACAGAAACAAGAAAGGCGCCGAGTGTTGGCCTCCCTCCACACGCGTGGCATGCTGGTTGGCGGCCCCCTTTTGCAGGCGGCCATAACGTCGTTGTCGACGGCGTCGCGCGGCCCAAAGGCGAGAGAGAATCCATCCTCCAACCGCCCATCAACCATCCCGTTGGCACAAGCTCGATAGAAACCTGCCAGCCGACTTGGCAGCCATCCTCAATCATGTCCATCAACCGCATCACAAAGACCATCGTCGCCACCGGCGGCCACTCGGGCCTCGTGAGGGCCCGCTCGCTCCGCAGCCTCAACCGTCCTCTCTCCTCCGCCAACGATGCTGACTTTCATCTCAATCATTCCCCGCCTGCCTTGCCTCTCACCCCATCTCCATGGCCCCCCCTCCGCTTCAGGGCCTCGAGGCACTCAAGTCGCTGCTCAACTCACCCTACACCTCCACGACCAACTGCCACCTCATCCTCTTCGCCAGAGACCCATCGGCAGACCATTGTCAGAGGGCCAGGCGCGAGCTGCTCCAAAACGCCTCGGCATCCCCAGACAAGAGCCTCACCGTCGATCTGAGGCGCATGGTGAGCGTTCCGCGTCCCCAACGCCTTTCCAAGCCCCCTCGCCCTCTTTGGCCTCACGTACATGCGGCCATACCATCCCTTCGCGCTCACGGCCCATCTGAACATGTCCCTGCCATCCCGCACTCCAGGACCTCGCCTCGCTCGCCTCGGTCCGAACGGCCGCTGCTTCGCTCTGCAACGAGCTCAAACAGGCTCACGGCGGCCGCATCGATCTCCTCCTCCTCAACGCCGCCGTCGCAAAGTCGCAGAGGCTGCTGGTGCAAGATGATGACGACCACTCGGCCCACCCCGACCAGCTCAAGGACGCCCAGGCCCGGTACGAAATGACCGCCTGCGTCAACCACGTCGCCCACCTCGTCCTTCTCAAGGAACTCGAGCCGGCCATACTCCGCTTCGCCTCACATCCAGCCTCCATGGCAGGCATCAGCCCTTCGCCGCCAAAGACGCGCATCGTCTTCACCGGCAGCGCCCTGCACCGCTCCGTCAAGGACACTGCCGCCCTCGACGACCTCTTCGCAGCATCCCAACACGAACGACCCGCCGCCGACTGGAGCCTGATGCGCTCGTACGGTCACTCAAAGTTCCTACAGATGCTCGGCATCCGCGCCTACCGTCGCAAGCTCGCCCAGACCCTCGAGCAGCACGGCAAGTCGAGCCATCGGGCCGTCGACATCGTCGTGGTCCAGCCCGGCTTTGTGCCCTCGACTGGCCTGAGCCGAGAGACGGGGTGGCTCAGCAGGCTCGCCATGTCGTACATCTTGCCCCTCTTCCCCTTTGCCACTTCTCCAACGCAGGCCGGCTCCTGGATCGCAAGGGCTTGCTACGTTGACCTAGACCAGGACGCTGCCACGGCCCAGACCCCGGCAGCCAGCCATGACGGCGACACGGACGGTGACGATGCAGACGGCTGGACGAGCAACGAGGGCACGGTCAGGGCGGCGCTGCTCGAAAAGGCCGGCCCAGATCAGGCTTTTGCCAGGCCGGACAAGAGGACAGCCGACGTGACGCTCCAGGACAAGTGGTGGCCCACGACCTGCGATTCCGCCGGCACTGGTCAGCCCGTGTCCCCTGCGGACCCCTTGGGCTGATCGCAACCTCAACCGCGCCGCAGCTAGGGCTAGATAGGACCCTGCGTCAATCGCCCTCGTCGAGGTCATTTCCGGTGCCGAGGACCGATCCTTCCCTTTCGAGCATCTGTGTGGCAAGCTGGAAGCCCTCGAGTTCGCCATCTTGCCTCTCTGCAATGTCCTCGGATGGTTCCCGCATCGAGGCGGACTGGTCTGGCCCGGGCAGGGTTGGCATCGGGGCGGGCGTGCCAGCCTCGGTGGCGGGTGTAAGGCCCCTGAATAGCGGTGTCGAGCCGCGTGCCAGGCTGGCATTTCGGCTGAACCGAGCGGACGGCTCCACTGACGTGAAGCGGCTCTGGGTCGAAGCGGCGCGCCCGTTGCGGCTGCTGGACGCCAGAGCCCCCGCGGCGACGGGAGCGACGGAGAGCTGGCGCCGCTCTTCGGTCTTTTTCTCGCCAAAGAGGTCGGGATGGTCGGAGATGTAGCGCTTTGTCGGCTCGACGACGAGGACGAGCAGCTTGCCAAAGATGCGGAAGCCGGCGTACTTGACCGACAGCCTGGGCTTCATCTTTTCTTCGTCGTCCTGGGTGATTTCAATGGCGTCGTTGTGGCCGGGTGAGTCGGCGAGACTCGCATCCTCGGCCTCGTCCTTGATCTGTACGGGCTCGTTGAGCCGACGCCGCTTGCTGCGCCTGGGCGCAGGCGCCTGGCCGTCGGGTTCGTCGTCGTAGACCGAGCCTCCGCGAAAGAGGGCTTCGACGCCTTGTTGGCCTGCGCTCTCGTCCTCATCGGACTCGTGCGGCAAGCGGGCGGGCTCTGCTGCGGGTCCGCGAGCGGGAGGCGGGCGAGGAGCGGAAGGTTCGACGAAGCCATCGTCGTCATCGTCGTCATCGACGTTTATGGGTGCGCTGGTGGCAGGTTCTGGCTTGACGGCGGCGAATTCGGCGGCGCTCTGTGGCGCGTGGGGGTTGCTGCTTCTGTGGGGGATGGGTGCGTGGACGTTGCCAGCTTCATCCTCGACCTTGACCTCGGAGAGCGACGGGTCCTGTGGGAACACGAGCGACTTTTCCTGGAGCAGCAGGCAGGCGGCGAGCCGAGAGTGACGGGGCGGAGGGGAAAGAGGCGGTGTGAGCTGACTTATGCGCGCGCAAGGATGATGGGGATAGGAGAGGGCGGGCGCACCTTGAGCAGAACGGCATGGCGGTCGTCCATTTTCCTGAAAAAGTAGGCCACCTGCCAGTCTTTTTCGCTGTAGACGTCGACTTTTTCCTTTTTGCTCATGTTTGCGATTGCGCCCTGCTTGTCTGCCTCTCTGCGCAGCTTTGGCATGATGCGCGACTTGAGGACGGCGAGGAGCATCTTGAGTATGTGCGGGTTGGCGTTGAACCAGTCGACGTGGCGGTGGTCGAGATAGAGGATGGTCTGGAGCACGGCGTAGGGCGAGGCACGGAGGTAGAAGACATTGCGCTGGGTGAACTTGGACATGGACGACATGGCGGCGACGGGCGTGGGTGTGTGGGCAGGTGGGGCGTGGTGCTGGATTTCTCGCTTGCCCGCGAATGCCACGGGTGTGCGCGGGAAGAGGATGGTGACGAGGAGACGTGGTGGTGGGGCAAAGGGGAAGGACGACGGGCGTACGACGAGAATCCAACATGGAGCGGCGTTGCCATCATTCCATCCATCCTCAGAGAGGGCGCATGCCTCCACCTCTGCTCAGCCCAACCTCGGAAGTCGGGTCAGCCAGAAGAAGCATCCATGCACGCAGACCAACAGCCGCGCGTTTGCAGTCACGGAACGCCGCCTTCCGTCTTGCCAGTTGGGGTCGCATCCTGAAAGCTGGCCCACCACCACCGCCACCACCACCACCACCACCACCATCCCCGCGCCCCAGCACACCCTCGCACGCCATGTCAAAGATGCCCGGCGCACAGGCCAAGACCGTCGCGCCCTACGGCACCTGGGACTCGCCCATCTCCACAGACAGCCTCGCACAGAAGCGCATCAGCTTCGGCGACCTCATCGTCGTCCCAGCCAACGACGACAAACCCGACGACCAACCCGAACTCATCTTTGTCGAAAACAGGCCACAGGAAAGGGGCAGGGCAGCCCTCGTACACACCACAGGCGGCGGTTCCATCGACGGCGCCCGCGACCTCACTGCGGGCAACCACAACGCCCGCTCCGGCGTCCACGAGTACGGCGGCGGCGCCGCAGCCCGTCTCGCAGACGGCTCCTTCCTCTTCACAGACTACAACCCCAAATCCTTCGACGTACTCAGAACCAGCCTCGACACCCAGCCGCACGTCGTCACCCCAGGTGAGCCCAGCCTCGTCCCTCTGCCGCGCTAGTACCAGCTCGACGGCATGACGTCCCGCTAACCTTATCCTGGTCTCGTGCTCCCCTTGGCCTTTTGCCCTCCCTCCGGTCGACACAGAAAACGCCGCTCACCGCTTTGCCGACTTTGGATCGCACCCGACCGACCCCAACCTGGCGCTCGCAATCCTCGAAGACCACACCATCGATGAACCCAGCAAGGTCATCAACAGCCTCGTGTGCATCGACCTGTCAACCACGCCCGCCACCATCCACACACTGCGCGCCGGAAGGCAGGGTTCCCGCGACGCTACGACGAAGCCCGACGACGGCTCCGACCGCGACTTTTACACCTTCCCACGCTTCTCGCCAAACGGGAGGTACGTCGCCTGGATCTCGTGGCTCCATCCAAGCATGCCCTGGTGGGGAACCGAGCTCTGGATCGCCCACTTTCACCGGGACGGTGACGGCGCGCCCACGCTCTCCCACGCCCAATCGGTCCGCGTCGGGCCCCAGGGCAAGGACGAGGCCCTGCAGCAGCCGGTCTGGGCGATTCCCCGCGATCCGCTGCAGAAGTCCTCGGATCTGCTCTTCACCAGCGACGCCACCAACTTCAGCAACCTCTACAGCGTCCACGTCGACGGTGGCGAAGGCGACGAGGCTCAGCAGCGACTCAGCGTGTCCGAACCCAAGGCCATTCTGCCCGAGCCCGTCAAGAGAGACTTCAGCCCGCCTTGCTGGACCCTCAACAACTCGTCCTTCGTGCCACTGACCCCCGACCTCCTGGTAGTCACCCTGACAAAGGGCGCCAAGGACGCCATCGGCCTCATCAACCTCCGCAAGCCCCGCGTCATCCAGCTCGACAGTCCCTTTGTCGCCGTCTCGCAGCTGCGTCGCTTGACCGCCACGTCCTTCGCTCTGGTCGTCACGCGCGACGACGAGCCCTCGACGCTGGTCACGGTCGACCTGCGCGGTCTTGCGGCCAGCGGCTACAAGGTGACCGACAGCAACATCCGGGTCATCAAGAGGAGCAGCGACATTGTCTTCGACGGCACAATCTCGAAGGACCTTCTCAGCGTTGGCGAGGAGATCGAGTTCCCGACCGAGCTGCCGGACGGTACGCCCTCAACCTCGCACGCCGTCATCTTCCCGCCCAAGAACCCGCGCTACACGGCACCTGCGGGCACCAGCCCACCGTGCATCTTCACCATCCACGGCGGCCCGACGAGCTCGGCACACTCCGGTCTCGCACTGGCAAACCAGTTCTGGACGTCGCGCGGCTGGATGGTGTGCTCTGTCAACTACGGAGGCAGCACCGGCTACGGGCGCGACTTCATGGACCGACTCTCGGGTCAGTGGGGCGTCGTCGACGTGCAGGACTGCATCTCTGCAGCCGAATACCTCGGATCCCCCGCGAGCGGCAGCAGCAAGCGTTTCAGCGAACTGTCGGCTGCCGAGGCCGATGCGGTCCGCAGGCAGCTCAAGCAGGCACGTCGGGACCGAGCGTCTCTGACCGAGACCAAGACGAGCAATGGCTCGACGCAGGTCACTCTGCGAAACACGGCTAGCACATGGAGCTGGATCGATCTGCTGGTCGCTGCAGGTGTGGCAACCTCCTTTGCGACTTCGCTGATCTCGCCGCTCGGTCGTCAGGTGGCTGCGGGCGGCGCGCTGGTATGGCTGTGGAACAAGCTGCGCCGCGTCGACAGCCAGACCCTCACCGTGATCCCATCCGTCGGGCTGCAGATCTCCACCACCCGAGGTCTCTCGCTGCCGTTTGCCCCGAGCCTACGCCTCTTCACGACCAAGAGCAGCCGCCTGATCCCACGCGACAGGATCCTAGACGTCTACGTGGGCGAAGGGTTCCGACGCTGGTCCGTCATCGACTACCTTGCCCTCGTCGAAAAGGATGGCAGGAGAGACGACGTCGAGAAGCCGGGCACAAGGGCCGGGAAAGTCGTCGACCTCTTTTCAGAACTCTCGCCGAGGCTCTCGGTCGTCGAAAAAGTCTATCGGACCATCTACCCGGCCCTCTTTGGCCAACAGGGCAAGGGTCTGGCAGAGTCGTCGTCGTCGTCGTCCAAGGGCAGGAAGAAGCGGCTGCCGCTGGCCGATCCGAACGCCATTGTCATCTCGGGTGGATCCGTGAGTCCAGCCTGGTCTGCGGATAACTCGACAACGTCGTTTGTCTGCCACTGACACGCTCTCCCCCTCTTTGGCGATCCTGACACTCGCTGGCACGCAGGCCGGCGGCTACACTGTGCTCCTCTCGCTCTGCCTGTCGCGGATCTTCTCGTCGGGCACATCGCGGTACGGCGTGGGCGACCTGAAGCTGCTCGCGGCCGACTCGCACAAGTTTGAGTCGCAGTATCCGTTCAAGCTGATCGGAGGTACGCCAGACGAGGTGCCGGACGTGTACAGGGACAGGTCGCCCATCTACCTCGCCGACCGGATCGAGGCGCCGCTCCTGGTCCAGCAGGGCACCGAGGACAAGGTCGTACCGCCCAACCAGAGCGAGGTCATTGTCGACAGCATCAGAAAGCGGGGCGGAAGGGTCGAGTACCTCTTGTTCCAAGGCGAGGGCCACGGTGAGTCGAGCAGAAGTCGTAGGCCCGCCCTCGACGCAGAGCAGAAAAAAGGCGCGGCGCATGCTCCCGCAACTTTCATCCCGATGCTCACTACCCCGTGCTTGGTCCCGTACACGCGCCCCTGTGCCCTCGTCGCCGACAGGCTTCCGATCCGCCGACAACCAGAAGAAATCGCTGCAGGCCGAGCTGGACTGGTACAACGACGTCTTGCACCTCTCCCCCACCCAGGGCCAGTAGTAGTGCGGCCGCGCCTCGGGACAACCAGGCAGTACGGCCCGCCGCCGACACTCGGCGTTTTTGGCGGACCCAGAGCTTGCTCCGACGTCCATGCCGCCGCTGCAGCTTCCTCCATCGCAGTCAATCGGTAAGGGAGTGCAAGGGAGTGTGCCTCTGATTGTTCTTTGGTCGCGCGAAAGTAGTATACAAGGGAGTGTGATGCGGCTGGAATGGGAATGAAAGGAAAAGGGCGCACGGCACGGCCGCGTCAGACGACTGCGGCAACCGCGGCCGAGCCCGCAGCGCTCCCTCTGAGAGCGAGATGCGAGGTGCGCGCTGCAGAAGGGCCAGGACGGGCGCGCGTCGACTAGCGGATCGTGCGCTTGCCCATCGTGGAGGTGTTGAAGCTGTCTTCGCCAATCGAGCCGAGCGTACCGGAGCGCGAGGGTGCGATGCCGTGCGGCCGACCGAGCGGGTTGCCCGGAGTCGGGAGGCTCAGGTTGACAGTGAGGCTGCTCGCTCTCCGTGCCAGGCGGGCGGCAGTGTTGTTGGGCGGTCCCGAGGCGGTCCGTGAAGCAGCCGGCTGCGGCGGAAGTGGCGAGGCCGAGGTCGACGGTAGAAGGGGCCCGCTCGAGTTGATGCTGCTCACCCTTGCCTTGCGGCGAACCGGCCCGACACCGCTGCCCGGGCCCGAGAGCGACTGTCGCGAGTAGGGACCTCGGCGCTCGCTGTTGAACTTGGCACCGCTCAGGTTGAGCGTGCTCGCCGTGGTCGGGAGCGATCGATTGGCTAGCTCGCCGAACGGCTCTCGCGGCGCCGACGCCGCGTCGCTCAAGAAGCCCGGGATGGTAGGTCGTCCCAGACCCCCCTCAGAACCTTGATCGCCATCGTCGTCCTCTGTCTCCTGCAGAGCGCCGAGCGCCGACGACGAAGACGATTTTGCGGCGGCGCGCTTGGCGAGGAAGTTGCGGTCAAACATGCCGGCGGCCCGCTTGGCGACCGGCTTGCCAGCTCCATCGCTAGCATCTGCTGCAGCTGGGCTCGCGCTGCTGGTGGCGCTTCCATAGTCTTCCCAGTCCGTCCCGCTGGAGCTGTCCTCGGCTTCGACATCACTTGCTAGTCGACTAGCGGGCTGTCGGGCCGGTGCGCGGTGCGGCGGAACCTGGTCACCGACGCCGGCCGACGCTGCCCCGAGACCGGCTGGAGGCAGAGGCGGCGCAGGTGCCAAGGATTCAGCCGACCCAGTTGGCGGGACAGCTCGCTTTCCCTTGTCGTCGATCGAGCCCTCGCCTGCTTCATCTGCCCAGCGGAAAGCCTTTTTGGCCTGCGGCGCCGGCTCGACAGGGGGCGGTGGCGGCCTGTTGCCAAGGCCGACGGCGCTGACCCTGCGAAGACCCACGCTGAGCCGTCGGTTCGTCTTGCGGGGGCTGCTTGCGAAGTGCGCTCTCGCGGGTGCAGCAGTCGCTGGTGGAGCTTGAACGCCCCGTGATGGAGCCGGCTTTGTCGGCGACGATGGAATCACGCGGCTTCCGCCAGGTGCAAGCGAAGCTCGCCGGACGCCTGTTCTCGGAGGCCCCGCGGCTCGCGCCGGGGCCGCGACCGATGCGGAACGGAGTCCGGCGACGAGCGCACCAGGCTGCCCGACTCCAGGTTGGGCGCTCCCAAACGATCTCCGCGCTCGGCGCAGCACGGTAGAGGCGCCTGTCCGCATCGGTCTGCCCGCGACAGATGCCTGCTGAAGGACACCGCTGCCAGCCATGTCCGAGATGTCGAGGTTGTTTGCGTCGGCAAGCCCTCTCATCTGAGCTGCGAGCTCGGCGAGCCTAGAGGCTAGCGGTGGTGCGCCGCCTCCCTTGTTGAGTTCGCCAGTCTCGTATTCGAGCTGGCCGGCGACGTCGCGCAGAGCCACTGTACTCTTGGCCGCTACGGAGACGAGGCGGGCCAGATCTCGCGAGCTGTCGCGCAGGACTGCCAGCGCCGCGTCGTACTTCGTCTGGGCCCTTGCCGAGTCGAGGACACTCCGGACCGACTCGCCCAGGCTCTTGACGATCTCGGCGGCCTGGACGTCGAACTTTTGGTTCTGGCTTGCCACCATCAGCAGGCCCCGGTGCATGGTCAGGCTGTTTTCGAGGCCGTCCGCGCCTGCCTTGAGCTCCGGACTGCGAATGATGGACTCCTGCCGTTGCAGCAGCTGTCGCAGGATGTTGCGTTCGCCCTCGAGCAGTTCCGCCTCTGAATCGACCTCAATGGTGGGCGAAGAGCCCTTCCTGGCTTGACAGCCGCCGAGCTCTGCCTCGACCTCATCGAGTCGCCGCCGCAGCTCGATCGAACGCACCTCGGCCGCTGCGATCTGCGCCTCGAAGCCGGCCTTTTCGCGTACGAGTCTGCGGACGTTTTCCGTCTTGCTCGAGATCTCGTTCTTGACGACGACCAGCTCCTGTGCCGCCTCGGCTCGTTTCCGCTTCTCTGCCGCAGACTCGTACGAACCCTTTTCTGACAGCTTGCGCTTGAGCTCTGCCACTTCCTCCTTGAGCTGCGCAATCGTCTGGACGTACTGGGCCACGTGCCTGTCGACGTTGATCATGTTGCGGCTGACCTTGGTGCGGATATTCTTGGCCTGGTTGGCGTACTTGAGGGCGTTGTGCGTCTCCTCGTAGTGGGCGCTCGAAGGGCTGACGCAGACAATCATGACGGTCTTGCAGTTGCCGCCGAGCGAGAACTTGAGCAGCCGCGTCAGCTTGCTGTTGCGGTACGGCACGTGCTTCCGCAGCCCGCCAGACTGGCACAACGCGTTGATGCAGTTGCCCAGGGCGAGGAGCGACTTGTTGATGTTGGCGCCTTCCTTCATCCGCGCACCGTTGTTGCGCGTCGCCGAGGCTCGTTCTGACCCGGCCAGGTCGATGATGTTGAGCGAGGCGCTGGTCGTCTCGTCGGTCGTGTCGGCGGTGCGTGGCTTCTGCGTGACGTTGATCTGGAGCACGGCGTGGCTCCTGGAACTGACGGCATTGGCCTCGGTCGGGCTCATGGTGCGCCTGGCGTTGCCCTCCTGGATGATGTCGAGCACCGTCTCTGGGCTCTCCGGGACCAGCTCCGTGATGCCCACCACCGAGATCTTGTTGTTGGCATCCTCGCGCAGCGCCAGGCCCTGGCCAGGAGGGGTGGGTTCCGCGCTGAGGAGGTCCCTGATGGTCTCGTTGTAGATCTCGAGGTAAGAGAGGCGGATGTAGACTTCCGAGTCGGCTCTCGCCTCGTCGATGCGCTGGTAGAGCTCCTTCATGGTGAGGAAGATGAGGCCGGGGTCCTCGGGCGAGCCAGAAATGGTGTGCGTCTTTCCACATCCGGTAGCCTGCGGAACGGCGACGTTACGGCACCAGAGCATCCGTCAGCCAGTACTCCACCGCGTATCGAGGGGCACAGGGTGCGGGGAGCGGGCTCGCGAAACGACGGACTCACTCCATAAGCAAAGACGCTGGCGTTGTAGCCGTTGAGGATGCCGTCCATGAGCGGCTTGCATGTCTGCTCGAAGACGTCGCCCTGGGTGCAGGCGCTGTTGAAGACGCGATCAAAGGCGTAGCGCATGTCCTTGCTGCGCTTGCCGCCGTGGGTGAGGTGGCTCTGCGAGTAGAGCCTGGAGAGCGGGTTGTTGTCTGGCGGATCAAAGACGAGGACCTGGTCGTCCATGGGCTTGACGATGGGCCGGATGAACCTGCCGCGCGGCATCCCAGTGGCCGGCATGGGGATCAGGGGCTTGGCCGGCGAGCCGCCCAGCCCTCCGTCGCCGAGAAAGGGAAGGACATTGTCCTCGGGCGCCAGCAGCGCCGCTTCCTTTTCGCTAAAGGGCCTGATCCTCACTGCGTCGAGGTGAGCAAGGGCAGCGAAAGGATGACATGGGAAAAGGGTGAGCGCTCGCGAACAAGCTGCAGCGGCGCCCCTAGTTCAAGGTCCAAGAAGTGGCTCACCGCAGACTGAGATTGAAGATTCCGCCATCGTTGAGGTTTCAGCCGTCCTGAATGCTACCGTAGCAAGCGCGGCGAGCGGTGGGAGCGGTGCAGGCGTCTATCAATCGAGGGCGACTGAGCCAGTCAGTCTGGCAGCGCGATGATGGCAAGCGAGGAGCGGAGGGGGTCGTGTCTACTCCGTCAATCACCAGCAGCACGAGTGCTGTGACATTGACGTTTGAGCGCGAGAGCGGCGGTCGGTCCTTGTTGGGCGACGAGGGGGAAGAAAGGGGGAGCGTATGGGTGGGTGGTGGTCGGGCAGATGGAGAGGTGGCCACAGGTGGAGCGTCGAAGGTCGGTGTGGAGCCAAGGAGTCTGAATCAGTGGTAGCCCGGAGAGGTGCGGCTAAGGGTGGAGTTGGTGCCAAACGACGGCGTGTCGACGACGAGTGACGTGATTCGGTGGGCAGGTCTCGGCGACGAGGGAGGTCGAGGAGGCGAGAGAGCAAAGGGGGCGACGGCGACGCCGACTTGTTGGTGGCAGCGATTTTGGATGATTATTTTCGTGGCTCGAGCTCGAGTGCAGGTTGGAGTTGAAGTGCGCCCCGTGTTGGTCTCTCTGGCCGCCCCGTCGGTCTGTTGGTCTGCATCGCTCCCTCTGCCATCTGACACGCTCCAGCGGGCCGCCCGCCCGTCCGCCCGCCCGCCCGCCTTGCCTTGCCTTGCACTGCACCAACTTCGACGCTCGCCATGCCATCCCGTGGCGTGCAATCGCCGCCCTGCGCTCGCAGTATGCTCCACGTATATGACCCCCCTCACCGCCTGGCCTGGTCATCGTACCGTTCCGGCCCCTTTCCCCAAGGACATCGGTGCAGGTGTCGGCCAGAGGCGCGTGGCCCAGCATTGTCACGTGCCGAGGTCCCATCGGCTCAAGAAAAGCCAACATCTGAGTATATGATTTTAAACTTTTGACCGTGAAACATCGACTGGCTCTTTGGTCTAGAGGCATGATTTCTCTTTCGGGCTTAGTCCCCCTTGCAATATTGCGAGGGTCCAATAGAGGAGGTCGGGGGTTCGATTCCCCCAAGAGCCCACTCTTTTTCTGCGACCGCAATGCGTCTGTTTTAATTCTTTCTTTTTATTTCGCTGCTGCGCGGCACGAGCCATGTGCAGTCGACGATGATATCGCCCTGGCGGATGTGTGTGTCGTATCAAGGTTGTGTGGTCTGCTTGCGGGTGTGCCGTCGTCGGGGCCTTGGCTGGCTGCTGAGTCAGCATTTGATCGCGCTGGCGGATGGGGCCTGCGAGGTGAGGCCAACGCGGCCCCTTGCTCCACTTTTGCGACTGGACGCTCGCCCCCCGCGACCCGTCGTCTGCTACCGACCGTTTGACGCTTCCACACCCTCGGCGTACCATCACCACCACCACCAGCTCATTCTCCGCGACGAAAGCCTCATCAGAACCGCATCGCCCTCTACTTCAGCCAGCCTAGGATCTCATTGCACCCGCCGCGGATCGACATCACCGCCTCGAGCCGGATCCCCTTGAAACATGGACTTCCAATCGATGATGCAGCAGGCCCGTATGGGCGGAGGCGGAGGGGGCGGGGCTCCTGGCGACCAGCCCCAGAACGACAACGCAGAGATGGTCTACATCAGCAGCCTGGCGCTTCTCAAGGTGGGTTCGAGGTCAAACGGACCGCGATTGCGATTGCGACGCTTGCTCGGAGACGGTTGGCTGACGCTCGTCTGCCCAAAACGTTCACCACCACCTTTCCGCAGATGCTCAAGCACGGCCGAGCCGGTGTGCCGATGGAGGTCATGGGGCTCATGCTCGGCTCGTTTATCGACGACTACACCGTGTCGGTGATTGACGTGTTTGCCATGCCCCAGTCCGGCACGGGAGTCAGCGTCGAGGCCGTCGATCCCGTCTTCCAGACAAAGATGCTCGACATGCTCAAGCAAACTGGAAGGTGAGCCCCGCCGCGCTCGTCGTCGATATTGAACGGGGAACGCTGCCGCCGGATCGCTCCGAGGCTGACTTCGTCCCGGATCCGTTTCCTCCGCCCCACTGCCTCTTCCCTGTCGCACAGGCCCGAGATGGTCGTCGGCTGGTACCACTCGCACCCCGGTTTCGGGTGCTGGCTTTCGAGCGTCGACATCAACACACAGCAGGTGGGTCCTTTCGCGCCGGTGACGCCCTCCGATGCATCTGAGGCCTACCGGGATCCTCGCACAGGCTGACCCTCCGGCGTCCGTCGCTTGCTTGCCCGCCTTGCACTCCACAGTCCTTTGAGCAGCTCAACTCCCGTGCGGTCGCCGTCGTCGTCGACCCGATCCAGTCGGTCAAGGGAAAGGTGGTCATTGACGCCTTCCGGCTGATCAACCCGTCGACTGTGATGCTGGGACAAGAGGCGCGGCAGACGACGTCCAACATCGGCCATCTCAACAAGCCCTCGATCCAGTCGCTCATCCACGGCCTCAACCGCCACTACTACTCGATCGCCATCGGCTACCGAAAGACTGAGCTCGAGCAGAGCATGCTCAACAACCTCCACAAGCGCAACTGGACCGAAGGGCTCCGGCTGCGCGACTTTGGCGAACACAAGGAGAACAACCAGAAGGCGATCGAGGTGAGTGCCTAGCCCCGTTTGTCGCGGCAGCTGTCTACGGGGCCTCTGGATGGCTCACAGCAGAGCGCGGGGAAAGAGGACGCCGGCTGATCTTGGCTCCCTTTGTACTTCCGTGCCCCTGGGATGTGTGGCCGCCCCCGCAGCGTATGCTGGCGCTGTCGGAAGCGTACAACAAGTCGGTCGAGGAAGAGTCGACGCTGACGGCAGAGCAGCTCAAGACGCGGCATGTCGGCAAGCAAGGTGAGTGGTCGTCGTTTCCTGGCGTGTTATGGGACGAAGCAGCCTCGGCCGTGTGAGCCTACCCGCTGACGGCACTTGATGCATCCTCGCCGCTGCAGATCCCAAGCGACACCTCGAAGATGCCGTGGAGCAGTCGATGGGAGACCAGATTGTCCAGAGCCTGGGCACAATGTGAGTTTCCGGTAGCCGACCGACCCGGTCACGTCGGGTGTACGAGGCAAGGGCGATGCTGACACGACTCTTGCCCGTCGGTCTTTTGCGCTCCGCTCCCCGGTTGACAGGCTACTGGCGGAGCTCTGATACATGTGGCCCGTCGCAGCAGCCGAACGCATCTGTACGCACTTGCCACTTTCCCCCCCTCACGCATCGCGGTGAAGTCAGCGGTTACACGTTATTGCTCTTGATGCGACTGGCCTGGCTGGATCCGCGACGGCAGAGACGGAAAGCCGGTGCCGGCCTGGTGGACGAAACGCGACGGCTATTAGCCGGGACGGCGGAGTGGCCTGCAAGGCCGCCGTCCGCGCCGGCCGGAGGATGTGCGTTGCGCGTGTGAGGTTGGACCCACCGAGATCCCGGAGAGAAGCCGGAAGGTCGGCTTAGACGGCTCAGGACCTGGGCGTCCGTCGTCTTGGCCTGCATGTCTGGCGATCCGCCGCGACGGCCGCGCGAAGGAGGCCCGGCGGCAGCTCTCGGGGGCGCAGCAGGTGGATCCGACCTGCTGGGCTTGTGGTACGCACCCGACGCCTTTTCTGCTTGGCAGGACGACGTCGTGTGGCGAGTGCGGGGTAACCCAAGGAAAGGGGAAAGCCGAAAGCGCAAGGTGGACGTGGCAAAAGGCCGAGCGAGGGCTGGCTCGGGTGGAGGGAGGCGTCGCTGCCTGCCTTGCCTCGGAAGAAGTCGTCCAAAAATTGCGTGCTGGGCCCGGCGCTCCCTGGCCACGGGCACGTTGGCGCCATTCTCGATTCTCGATTCGAGAGCCCAGAGATAAAGATGCCTCTTCGATGCAACGGTACTGCCCACGACTTCACAGTCTTTGATCCTTCCACCGCCACCGCCACCGCCACTCACCTCTGCCACATCGACACCGCGATAGAAAGCAACGCAAGGCAGGCCCCACCTTGGCATCGACAGCGCCCCGACCCTTACCGGACACCCCGCCAACAGCCGACCATGTCGAGCCCCTATGCGGCCAACGGCGCCGCGGCAGGCGCTGTAGGCCAAAGGATCCTCGTCGTAGGAGGAGGAGCAGCCGGCCTCGTCACGCTGCGCAACCTGCTCGACGTCAAGACGCCCTCGGGACAGCCAGCCTTTGACGTGACGCTCGTCGAGAGGCGTGACGATGTCGGCGGAGTCTGGTAAGTCGCAGCGTACCGGATCGAGTCGTAGCATGGCCCGAAACACTGAAGCGGTTCTGCGATCCCACACCCCACGATGCCCCGACGACGCACCAGGTACTGGAGCGACGAAACCTATCAGCTGGAGCGCAGCCTCTCGCCGGACCGCACCCAGTCCGTCTGGCCGCTCAAGGACCAGAGCGGGCGCCCGCACTGGCCAAGCCCCGCCTACCTCAACCTCAAGGGCAACGTCCTGCCCGAGTACCTCCAGTTCGCCGGCCACCCGTTTCCTCCGCCGTCTCATGGCGACACCTTCCCGACGCTCAAAGAGACCCACGACTACCTCCGCTCCTTTGCCAAGCCGCTCGAGTCTCACATCCGGCTGGGCATCGAGGTCCTCCGAGTCGAAGAGCTCCTCCAAGGGGGCTGGGAGGTCGAGTGGAAGGACTGGAACCGATCCGCAGACCGCCAAGCCGACCGTGCTTCGTCATCCTCGGCACCTTTGCAGCAGACGAGTGGGCCCAGCCAGGAGACGACGGTGCAGCGCTTCGACCGCGTCGTGGTGGCATGCGGCTGGTACGACACGCCCCTCTACCCAAAGGCCGAGGGGATGGCCGAGGCCAGGCGGGCGGGCTTCGTCCACCACGCCAAGCACTACCGCGACTCAGCCACCTACCGCGGCAAGAAGGTCGTCGTCGTGGGCAACAACAACTCCTCCAACGAGGCCGCCGCCCATCTCGCAGTCCACAACACCCGCGAGCAGCCCGTCTACAAGTCGGCCAAGCGGCCACCCGTCGTCAAGTGTCCCTGCCTGCCCGACGAGCGGATCAGGGACGTCGGCGTCATCGCGAGGTACGAGCTCGTGCCGCAAGAGACGGGCTCTCCGCGGCTGCGAGTTCACATTGAGGACGGCACCGTCATCGAGGACGTCGACTATGTCCTCCTCGGCACCGGGTACGGCCACAGCTTCCCCTTTGTCCGCGTGCTGACCGACGAGGCCAGGACAGCGCAGCGGCAGCAGACGCAAAAGCTCACGCCGCCCGAGCTCCAGGGCGTACGGGTGCCCAACCTCTTCCGCCACATCCTCTTTGCCAAGTCGGCCGACCTCAGCCTGGCATTTGTCGGCGTGGTCGTGAGCTTCTTCCCCTTCAACATGGCCGACCTCAGCTCGCGCTGGCTCTCGCTCGTGTGGAGCGGCAGGATCCGCTCCGCCGTCCCCGCCTCGGTCGAGGAGAGGCTGAAGGACGAGCAGGACCGCCTCGAGTACATCTGGACCGACAAGGAGCGCCACCTCGCCGCCCGCAACGGCGGCCGGCCCGCGGCGACGCTGGACCGGTCGGACCCGATGAATGCCTTTGGCTTCCACACGCTGGGCGGATCGCTCAAGGAGGGCGGGCCGTCGGAGCTCGTCTACGGCGCGCAGCTGCGGCGCGAAATCGTCGAGGCCGATCCGTCCATGGCCGACTGGTACGACGACTGGGGCGAGGAGCGCGAGCGCAAGCAGTACGAGATGTACGACATCAAGCGGCGCTGGCTCCTCGACAACGAGGAGAGGATCAAGTCGGATCCGTTCGACTTGCTCGGGCGCAACTCGGCGTACCGCCACCTCGCCGACGAGATGGTGGCACAGCAGAGCGGAGCGGAGCAGGTCGTCGACGATCGGACAACGGCGGCTGCGCCGCCGGCGCCGGTTGCTCCGATGCCTTCGATGAGGAAGGTGGCAGTCTGACGTCGATAGAAGTGTAGTGCGATAATAGAAAGCTGGGCAGAGTAGATTGCCGTGGCCTCGCCCGCTCGGCGTGCCCGCTGGGCAGACAGCGCTCGCCGTCTGTCCGCCCTGCAGTCGTCTGACCTTTTTCCGATCGCTCTCTGGCCGATGTAACCTCGGCATCAGCAGATGGGCCCGCAATGCTGGCGCCGCCTTGCTGTCATTACAGAGCTCGATGAGACGAGGCATCATGGCTGGCCGCCGACCGCCTCGCTGCCCTGGGCGTCGGCCGCCTCCTCCTCCTCGACCAATTCAATGTCGAGCGGGTAGGTGAGGATGGCGGCGATGCCCGTGAGCGAGTTGAGCTGTCTCCCGCTCTCGTGCATCGAGCTGAAGATGGCCACCTCGGCGCCCTGCTTGCGCACCTCCTCGACGAGGTCGACAAACTTCCTGCGCCGCGCCGGGTCCGCCGCGCGGAACAGGCCGTCCGAGATGAGCAGCGTGCCGATGGCGCCCCGCGATGCGGCCAGCAGGACGTGCTTCTCGCCGTACCACGCCCTCAGCTCGTCGCTGGCCAGCTGCTTCATGAAGCGCTCCAGCAGCTGCCCCTCTCTTGCGAACTTGGTATCCTTGAGCTGCGCGTTGACCTGTCGGTCGGCAGGAATGGGCCGCGGGTCGTGAACAGCAAAGAAAGGAAGGGTCAGCGGTGGCTCGCGATCAAGGGAAGAGTCAGCCGGGGCTCGGGACAACGGTGCAGCGGAAACCAGCGACGCTGGCGCCGCGAGTGACGGTAGCGCACCTCTGGGCTGCGGAGCACCTCCATCAGGGAGTGGACGTGCGGGCTGCTGCAGTGGATCTTGAGGAACTTGCGCCGCGCCTCTCCGCCGATGAGGATCTTGTCGCCTCGCTTGACGGCCTCTTCAAAGATGTAGTCCATCACCGAGTCCCTCGTGAACCCTGGCGATGCGATGATGATGAGGCGCAGCGCAGGCAGCTGGAGCAGCTTGACGACGGCGTTGTAGACCTGGGCGTAGAAGCGCTGCGTTGCCTTGTCGGCCGAAGATGCGGGGATGCCCTTGCGCTTGCGCGGGATGGCCACGTCGATCCGCTGGCGCACCACGGTCATGTGGCCGGTCAAGAGGCAGACGCTCGCCGTGCCTGCGTGGGATGAGATGGTGGATCTACGTCAGCCAAGGCGGTACGGTGAGGGCCTAGTTTGGCCGCATGGCCCGACCAGACTCACCTTCGCCGAGCACCACGGCTCCCACCTCTGCCCTCTGGCTGGCGTCGCTGCTCTCGCCCAGACGTTCGAGATGGACCGAGTCCCAGTTCTCCTTCCAGATGGTCATGCTCCGGTTGACCTCGAGGTCGAGGGTGTGGAACGCGCCCATCTTGACGTGCGGGTTCTCCTCGACGACGCGACCCGACACCTGGAGCGTGGCCCCCTCGCCGCCCGACGCGCCCACGGCCGCCGCCCTCGACACCTCCCCGGACGTCTCGTCGTTGGTCGACGACGTCGAAGCTGCGGCCGACGGGTCTGGTGGTGCAGAGCTTCCCGTTGCGTCAAAGGCCGTCTTGACGACCTGGATGGTGAGGTTGAGCTTGACACGGTGCGATTCGATTGACCCCGTCGAGGATTCGGACTGGACGCGGCGGACGGCGGCTGCGCGGATCTTGTCGCCCTCCTCTATGAGGTTGTAGAGATGGTACATGTCCTCGCTGTTTGCGGAGCGTGCGAGCGGGGATGCCAAAGGATGGACGGCGGGCAGCACATGGCTCGAGGTGAGCAGGGGACTGCGCCTGACTCGGACTCCGTCCCCCGACGCAGGCAGGGTTTGCGGCGGCGGCCACCACTCACTCTTCCTCTGGCACGAGCGTGACGCGGCCTGAGCCGTCCTTTTCGATGTGCCTTGATGTGATCTTCATGGGTGGCGACGATGCGTGCTCGATGGTTGCTGGGCAGAGGGGATGATGTAGGAGGAGGAACGAAGTGGTGTGCAGGTCGAAGGAGGAGAGGGCACCTCGAGGGAACCCCCCTTCCTCCACACACGGCCACTGACGTCGCCCGAGCGGTTGCTTGCCGGGAGGCAAACCCGGCCGACTGCAAACCACCGCCATCACAGAACCCGACCGCCGGGGCTGTCTACAAGCATGGCCGTGGGCAGAAGGCGGATGCCGTCAGACTGGGCATCAGTGTCACCAGCCTGCGCTTCGCAATCAGCCCATGGTGCTCGATGCCGCAAGCACGGTGCCCAGCTGCCTTGGCCGCGTCAAACACCCACGAGAGCACGCCAGCATATCGAGCGCAGCACGAGACCCGATGCCCGCAACTTCGACTCAAAGCCTCGCCGCGCGCAGCATGTCGACGCACAGTACAGGCACAAAGCCGGGAGCTTCTCAGGCTGACATCTCCCTCAGCGACTGCCGGAGTATGCAGGCAGGCAGCCATTGAGCGGTGACTCTTTGCCAGAGCGTCGACATGGCAGCAAGGAGCAGCCAAGTCGAGCCATAGAAGCGGAGCGAAAGAAGAAGGCAGAAAGGCGACGCGCACCAGCCCGTCCAAGAGAGGCCTAGGTTCGTTCAGTGCGGCCACGATAGCCGACGACGGCTGGCAACGTCTCTGAGCAGAAGTGAAGCGGCTTGGCAGGCGTTGGATTTCCTCGTCGTACGCATCGCAACACATTCATGCAGACGAGAGGAGCTCTCCAAACTTCTTCTCGACCTCCGAGGAGCTCAGTCCGTCGAGCTCGACGTTCTTCTCCACGCCGCGCTCTGCAGACGAGAGCAGGGTGGGGTGGAGCAAAGGACGGGAAAGCGGCGGCGAGGGGCGAGACGTGGTCAGTGCCGGGTAAGCTTGGCAGCCGGAGCGCGACCCTCGTCGGCTCAAAGACTCACCGAAGCGAGCAAAGGCGCGTGCTGGTGTGCCCTGGGCCTCTCGGACGAGGAAGGGGAGGTCCGGGTTGGACTGCTTGAGGGGCTTGTAGTTGGTCTCGAGGAACTTGCTGCGTACGGGTGCGGCGGGCGAGTGGGTCGGGCAGATTGGACCGACGACATAGGAGAGACCGACGATGGAAGAAAAGGGGAGCGAAAGGGAGGTGAGAGTGTGACGATGTTAGCACGGAACGGAGCAGGCGGGGCCAAGGCTGGAGAGCAGGCCACCACGAGGCACTCACCGGGCGCCGGCGCTGCCCTGTCCAGTCTGGCAGATGTGAAGGCGGACCTCCTTGAGGGCCTTTGGCAGGGCGCGTGTGAGGGCGTTGGAGGCCATGGCGGCGAGCGTGTCCGGGGTGGATCAGGGGGAGGGTGTGGCGAATGAAGGAGAGTTGGCTGGTGGTGGTGATTGACGGGTCCGGACTGCCAACCCGAATCTGTGGTGACGGAAGGCGGCAGCGGGCGGGCGGCCGTCCTTCGGGAGAGGTCGAACGGCCATGCGTTTGTGTCATGCTTTGTCAGCAGTCGGCTGGCAACTGGCGAGGTGAGGGCTGGGTTGGCAGGTGGAGCTGGCGGGGCACGGACGCTGGACGCTGGACGCCTGCCTTGACCCTGCCTTGACTCTCGAAAGTCTGGCTGCACTGGCCAACGAGGCCGGCTGGCCTAACTGGCCTGGCCTGCCCTGCCCTGCCCTGGCCTGCCCTGGCCTGCCCTGCCCGTTCGAGGCGTGTTGCTCTCCCAGGCGCCCGTTGGACAACCCCTCGAAGACCAACACTGACCTAGCCTGCCCCGCTGTGCCGTGCCCCGACTTGCCTCCCTTGTCAGCCTGCGTACCGTCAATCGCCCTCTCCTCTTGCAACCTCATCGCTCATCAATCCACCACGTGTAGCAAAACTGATCCTCAAGAGCCCTTCAGGCGCCGGGTAGCCGGCCACCTTCTGCTTTTGGCTCGGCCGTGGGCCTGGTCCTGACCGCCACCACCACCACCATTACCACCACCACCACCGCTCGGGTCCGCATCGGCCGAAATGGAGTACCTCAACCGCCTCTCGAGCCTGGTGACCTCGCCCGCAAAGACGGCCACCAACCTTGGCGCAGCACGCAGGCGCAAGGCCTCGACCCACATCAACGATGGCTCGCCCGACGCCTTCAGGCGCGATTGGGACGCCGTCAAGGGCACCCTGCAAAAGCCAGACCAGAGGGCCCTCTTCTTTGGCATCCAACGCACCGACGTCCCAGACGGGCTCAGAAGAATCGTCGACGCACTCGTCTTTGAAAACAACCGCTCCACCGAGGGTCACACCGGACCTTGCATGGAGCATCTGCTCAAGCACGATCGTGAGTGCCATCTGCCGCGCGCGCGCACGCAGTCCCGGGCAGTCAGTTCTGTCCCTCGAACCGATGACGAGCACTGACCCGAGCCCCGCACCTCTTGTCCCCTCCTCGACACGCACCTTGCACGCCTATCCAGTGCTCGAAGAGCTCGTGCAGCTGAGCGCCCAAGACCAGCCATCCGGCATCCTGGGCGAAGTAATCCGAACGCTCACCAACCTCGTCATCCTGCTCGACGAAAAATTCTTAAGCCGACAGGCTGCCCATCGGCCAATCTCTATGCTCATCAACCTGTGCATGAACGGTGATGGATCCACAGACGACGACCAGGACGACGATCCTACCGGGCAGCGCAGGACGGCACGACGCAGCGTGACCGACCCAGACGCCGAACACAACAGTGACCTCGTCGATCTAATGTGCCACGTCGCCAGCCGCATCCGCAACACGCCCGACCTCCTCCTCATCTTCTTCACCGACGAGCGGATCAAGGCCACCAGCATGGCAGAGATCGGTGGGGACCCCACAGCCGTCACCATCGCCGAGCCGGCGGTCGCGGCCGCCGAAACGGGTCGCGAGGTGCGACCGCCTTCCCCAGCGGGTTCGATCGATTCGGTCGCGACGTTGCAGCCGTCGAGGGCCGAGACCGCGACCGAAGGCGCAGGGATCACCACGTATCGTCGTCTCAGGTTCCCGCTGTTCTCTCACCTGCTCCGCTTTGCCCACCGGGAAGGCCGAACGGGCGAGCTTGCGCGAGCAGGCCTGCTCTTCCTCATCACCCTCGAGGTCAACACCTCGCCTTCGGCAGGGCCAAGAGCGAGAGGCGGAGCGCCAGCCAAGACCGAGGGCCAAGACGCCGCCGCGCTGGAGGAAAAGGCTCAGGCCGATGCGCTCAAGACGGCCCTGGCCATCTTCGTGGCCAACTCCGACTTCGCCGATGTCTTCGGAGCGGGGCTTGGAGCTGCCTATGGCCTGCTGCCGACGAGGATCTACATGGCCCCGGTGCACGATCCTACCCGGGGCCCCCGAAGCGACCTCACGCTTGGCAGGTCAGACTCTGAGCTCACCCTGGGAAGCGCGACGGCGGCAAGAGAGCCGGAAGACCACTCGTCGACCTCGTTTTCCACCGTCACGCGGAGCGACAGCCCAGAGCTACAGGCGCAGCTTCGCCTGCTGGTCGACCTGCTCGACTTTGCTCAAGATGTTCTGGATGCCGTCGGCGTCAGCGCCAGGTCGAGCGCGCGCACGGCCGCATCCGGAGAGCATGAGCCATTCTCTCCCGTGGATTCAATGGTCGAGAAGCTGGCGACGAGCGTGGCCATCGCGGTGCGCGACACCTTCATCAAGAACGTCGTCTACCCTTCCCTCATGGAGAGCAGCGACGTGGACGGAAGCGCCACCGCCGTCATGAGCTACCTCGAAGTGGTGATGCTTGTGCTTCGCGAGAGGCACCTGCTCACCGAGGTGGTCCTGCAGTACCTCTTGTGCTACGAGCGTCTGCCGACCAACGACGCCCAGTTCGACGAGGCTGATGCTACGGCGAGCCGCCTGGCCTACCGCCTTGCCGATGATGGCGCGGATCGCTACAGTCTCAAGGATCTCATCCTCGACAACATGAGCAGCGGACGGACGGTGTCGGCCGCAACGGCAGCGATGAAGCTCGCCAGAACCCTCATCGTGTACCATGGGCGGCATGCCAACGATGCTCTGCTCGAGCCCAGAAAGGGAGCGCACCCTTCCGCTGGGCAGAATGCAGACGGCGAGGACTCTGCCGACTTCGGTTGGGGTGCTCCCACCAAGAACGAGCCGTCGACCCGACCGCTCGAGGCCGTACCACTGCAGATCAGCCAGCACGTCAAAGAGATCGACGCATACGCCACCCTGCTCTCCCGTTTCGAGGGTGCAGCCAGTCCCGAGGCGATGCTCAACAGCCTGAGCCCCTATCTACTCGACGCCGAGCAGGCGGTCCGACGTGACAGCTGCTTCGAGGCTGCGCTCCGACCTTTCCCGCAGAGGAGGCGGCAGATGCACTCCCACGGCGAGCGCTGCGACCCAACGCACTGGTTCCAGATCCGTCTGTCCCCCACCGATGTCTTCTTCCAGCAGGTCTGCGAGCTCCTGGCGCGCCTGTTCCGGCAGACCCCGGAGCAGAACCTGGCGCTTTCGGGCATCATCTCGTCGCTGGCCGTGAGTCCGATTCGCAGCCTCAAGGGGTGGCTCACCTTTGACGGCGAAGAGGACGGGGCGGGCGCGATCCCAGCGGTGCTGGATCTGCTCTCCCATCTCTCCAGGCAGGTCGGAGGCTATCGCGAAAACATCCCGGACTTTGACCGCTACCTGGCGGACCGGCGCAAGGGGCTCCTGCTGGCCGAAGACCTCAGCGATGCGCTCGAAATCAACGAGCTCACCGACGACGACAGCTTCGGTGAAAAGGGCGCCGCCTCCGATGAGCATGTCGTCGGCAAGGAGGCCTCGAGCAAGAAGCTGGCGCCATCGCTATCCTTGCCGCGCACCCGCCCGCCCAGAGCCGCGCAAGACGCCGATGGGGACATCGATGAGGCATCTATGAATGCGCTCAGGATGGTCGACGATCGACGAGAGGAGCTCTCGCCGGAAATGTCCGCAAAAAACCTCGCGACCGCCGGCGAAGGGTCCCAGACGGCAGGCACCGCCGACGCCGACGAGGGTACGAGCCCCGCAGCCGCCGCGCCGGATGCGCGGTCGAGCGCGTTGGCGAGGCTCTTTGGCGGCAGGGCGGTCAAGGCCGGTGCGGCGGTTGCGCAAGCAGGTGCGCAGCCGAGCGGGCGGGACGGCTCAAGAGCGGCAGAGTCGAGCAAGCTGGCCGCGAGCACCATCAGCCCGTACACGCGCCACTATCAGGAGACGTTGGCCATTTCGGTCCAGGCCACGACGGCGGCGGGGGCCGAGGCGTGGAGAAAGCCCGTCGAGATCCGGGCCATGGATGCCGGCAAGGAGGACGTCGAGGTTGTGACGCTGTCGAGCGTCCTCGACAACACCATCCTGCTCGAGGAGCTGATCAAGGAGATTCTGGCCATCATCGAGGTGCGGCGAGCCTGGGGAATCGATCCGGTCTCGTTTCGGGCCGAGGACGAGGCGGCGGTCTAGGTCGAGGTCGGAACTCCCCCCTTTCCTTGTTAGATGCACACGGGCAAAGGTCACTTTTGATACCCCATCGTGGTCAGATCGGCTCGGACTCCAGCGAGACGCCTCGGTGTGGGCCCGACTCCATCGAGACGAGGCGAAGATCTGTGGCGCCTGTCAAAATCCGGCTTTCGGGAAATGGATTAGAAGGCAGCCGGCAGGAAGCGCCGAGCGGGTTGGGGTCGAGCGGGGGAGCCAGGTCCAGGTCCTTTTTCCCCATCTTCCACACCCTCGCTCGCTCGGCCTTCCCTCCGCCTCCTCCAACGATTGCCACACCCCCAACATATCCGCCGCTCCGCCCCAGACCTATTGACCATGCTTCGAACAAGTGCACCACAGCTACTTCGCCGCTGCTCAACGCTGCCGCTCTCGACTGCAGCGGTCCGGGCTTCTCCGTCGGCACGGGCGAGATTCAGCCACAGCGCGATGCGGCTGGAAGCGGGCGGCGAGGCGGCCACCAAGCAGGCGGAACGGACAATGACGCGGTTCTGGAAGACGGTCCACCTCGCTCCGGCCACAGAGGCGGAGGCAGAGGCAGGGGAGCGCGGCGCCGGGGGCTACACGGTTAAGCTCGACAAGCGCGCGCTCAAGACGCCGAGCGGCGCCAAGATGGTCATCCCGCACCAGCGCAGGCTGCTGGCCTCCCTCATCGCTCAGGAGTGGAGCGAACAGACAAAGACGCTCAAGAGCCACACGCTGCCCCTCGTAAGTCGTCCGAGGGCCCCCGTATCCGACCTGTCAGAGCCTCGCCGACGTTCAGCGCTGATTCCGTTCGCGTCCCTGCTGCCGCCCGCTGCGCGTCTCCCGCTGCCCCCCCCCCCCCCCCGGGACTCTTTCACAGACCTCGCTGGCGGCTCGTGCCATTGACGGCTGCTCGGATGCAAAGGAGAGGCAAAAGATCTGCAGCGACCTGCTCAAGTACCTCGAGACGGATACCGTGCTGTGAGTCGACCCGCCCCGTTTCCGCCTCGCCGTCCTCGCATGTGCCGCCATGCCGCGGGATTTTTGACGCTGACGGGCCCGTCTCCCCTCTGTCCGCTCCTGGATACCCCTCCCCACACCGACACCGCGCTGCAGGTTCTACGAGTCGACGCCGACTTCGCTGGTACGGCTACAGGCCGAGCACTGGGATCCGCTCCTCGCCTGGGCCTCGGAGCGCTTCTCGGTGCCCCTCTCGCCCTTCACCGCCCTCCTCGGAAACGCCCACGACCCAAAGGTGCTCCCCACTTTTGCCTCGCTCCTCGACAACCTCGACCCCTTCGAACTCGCCGCCTTCGAGAGGGCCGTCCTCACCACCAAGTCGTTCCTCATCCCCGTCGCCCTCCTCTCCGGTCGCCTCTCCGTCGAGGAAGCCGCACAGGCCGCAGAGGTCGAAGTCAGGAGCCAGATCGAGCGCTGGGGAGAGGTAGAGGATAGCCACGACGTCGACACGGCGGATCTACGGAGGGTGCTCGGCAGCGTTGCTGCTGCCGTCGTCAAGGAGTAGCCAGAAAGGGGAATCGATGCAAAGTCGGGGAGGGGGCGGGGGGCAGAGTGATCTGCTGCTGCTGCTGCTGCTTGACTTTCGATCTGAATTCCGAGGAAGAGCGCTACAGCTCCCCGTCAATGGGAGACACGGCTGACCACAGCGCTACGACCAACGAGGGGCACCGACCGACCGGATCACGAGTGGGCCGCTTTGGCCAGGCGCGACTTGAGATCCGCTCGGCCCGCAGTGGGCGAGCCGGGCGAGGCTGGCGAGGGGATGTCGCCCAGGGCGGCCACGTCCGGCGACGCTGCCGCAGACGACGACGAGGCGGCCTTGTCGACGTCGACGCTCAGACCGGCAGACGCGGCCGTCGGGCTGGCCACATCGGCCCGGTCGCTGACGCCATGGGCCTCTTCGCCCTTGGCGCCGGCTGCGGTGGTCTGCGACCCGTTGCTCGGGCGCACGACGGGGCTGGACCCGTCGACGGCCTTTTTGGCGCTCGCCTTGTCTCCGCCGGGCGTTGCGGGGCCATCGACACCCCGCTCCACCAGCTCAATCAGCACCGCCCGCCTCACCCACTTCCTCCTGCGCGTGTAGCGTCCCAGGCCGGCCTTCTTGCTCATCTTGTCCCATGCATTGTCTCCGTACTGCCAACCATCCGCATCGACGTCCCAGTCCTCGTCCTCCTCGAACGCCAACGGTCCGCCGCTGCTGGTCAGGGTGGCCGCAGCCGACGAGCCAGCCTTTTCCGAGGACGACGCGGGCGAAGAGGGCAGCGAGCGGGCGCTGCGGATGCGGCTGAGCGCGTCGCCGATGTAGCCCTGCTTGGCTGCCGCGATGGCCTCGGCGTCGCCCGTGCTCTTGGCGCTGGCGATGGCGGCCTCCTTTGCGCTGCCCTTGAACGCGGCCGACGTGGTCGACGGGAACGACGAATGGCTGATGCCAGCCACGGTCCACTCCGGGTCGAGCCACTGCCACTTTACCGTGCGGCGCTGGAACGCCTTTGGGTTGGCCGCAGTCGGCGACGGCGTCAGCGTGATGCGAGCCGGGGGCAGGCTGAAGGACGAGGGCGGCGAGACGGGGTTGTTGGACTCGTCGGACCAGCTGGGCCGTTCCTGGGGCAGCAGCGCAGCCGTCCAGTCGAGGCCGACCCACCAGCGCTGGTTCTCGAAGATCGAAAACTGGTAGATGACATCCTCGTGGCGCGTGAAGCCAGTCTCTTCCTGTGGCGAGACGGCCGCGGCCTTTTGGGCCTCGACCGCCTGCTGCGGGCCCTTCTTGGCGACGTCGGCGGGGATCGCAGATGAACGGAGGAGGGAGTCTTCGGAGACGGCGTCCCTGGCGAGATCGTCATCGTCGAGCTTGCCCCTGCCCCATGCATCCCGGAAGGGACGCTGGCCGCTGAGGATGCGGCCGATGCCTCGAGCGGCGCGGCGGATCGTGGCGCTCTTCCAGACGGCCTGCCTGATGAGGCCGCACCAGGGCGAGCACCACGTGAGGGCGAGGGTGCCTCCGAGGAACATGAGGGATCGGACCGAGAGCGCCGCGATCGGATAAGGTGGCAGCAGCCGGACGGAAAAGTCGGTGCACCTGTCGAGGCGCAGCAGACCGAGTGTCGACAGGACGGCGCGGTAGACGGTGGGCAAGGGAGTTCGGTGGACGACGCCGGCCAGACGGTCCCAGCTTGCGAGCAGGGGGTCGAGCTGGTGCGACAGGGCAGCGGCCCGATCGGACCCCATCAGCCGCAGCGCAAAGTCCCTTGCTCCGGCCGCTGCTGCAGCCAGGAAGCCGAGGATGGCAGATCCCGAGACGGGCAGCAGGAGCCTGGGCAGCTTGAGGTCGTCCCAGGGCAGGAACGCCAGGAGCCAGAGGGGCCATGTCAAGACGAGGAAGGCGGCAACCGCCTTGGTATTGTTGGGCGAAGGATCCCAGGAGAGCAGCTGGATGGTGGGCACGAGCACCGAACGCCTGGCGACCGAGAAAAAGTCGGCCAGCTCCGAGAGTTCGAGGAGAATGGCGTTGATCCTGGCGGCGGATACGACGTCGTGGCGGTCGTAGATTCTCCTGGCGCCTTTTGACGGCCTGGCGGCGCCGAGCTGCTTGCGGGTCCAGGTATATGCGATGTAGGCGAGGACGAGGGCCTGGGGGGCGTACCGCAGCACCTCGTAGCCAAAGGCGCAGACGAGCCACCATCCGACTAGGAGGAGCATCGAGGAGCCGCCAGAGCCCGGCCCGCCGGTCCATGTTGCGAGGCGTATGAATCGGTTGGTGAGGCTGATGGCGGGGCCGAGGGCGGCCAGCACGCGCACCACCGACGAGGGGACGCGCTCTAGGACCTCGGCCGACGACAGGGGCTCGAACGAGGCGGCGAGCGAGGCCGAGGCTGCCACCGACGTCGAGGGTGTCTGGGCCGACGAGCTGAGCAGTGCCGCGCCCGGGTTCGAGTCGCTGGGCCTGCGCGGCGATGGGCCGACGGCGGCCGCCGCCGAGTCGGAAGCCATCGGAGAGGGTTGCGACCGCTGCGGGCGGGATGCCGAGGCTCCGATGCGAGACTGGTGGATCAGAGAGAGGTACGGGTCGGTCAGCTGGCGGGTGGGCGAATCGGCGGGTTGATCCGATGGTTGTTGGCAGAGAGGCCAGGACGGGCAAAAGGGCCAAAGGGGCCAAGGGGAGGGAAGGGGGGTGAAGAGGAGCGACCGTGTTGCGTGAGGGGGAGAGGATGGCAGATCAAAGGGTGTCGGAGGGACCGAGGGTCAACGAGCGTGCCACTTGGTAGCCAGCGCCCAGGCCGCGCGGACGGGCCGCTCCGAAGCCAGGCCAGGCTGGCCAGGCGGCGCACAAGCTAAGTCTGGCGTCAAGCGGCCAGCGCATGTGGAGAAGGCGAAATGGCCCATCCCTGGGCCTACCTCCCGCAAGACTCACGGGATGCTCAAAGGCCGCCATGGAGCGAACGGCAGGCGTCGGCCAGCTCGGATGCCTTTCAGTGGTCGAGGGTGGTGTTGGCGATGGTGGCGGTGGTGGTGATTGGGTGGCAGAGTGCCCGGGGGATGGATGGATCAGACGAGGCGGAAAGCGGGGCCGCGAAGCTCGGGTAGACGCCAGCCCAGCCCAGCCCAGCCCAGCGCCCAGCCAGCTCTCAGGCCTGGCCCTGATGACGATGCGGGGCGGGTCGCGCGAGCCAGGTCCTCGTGAAAGTAGGCCGCCCTGGCCTGGCCTGGCTGAGGCTGGGCCCACCTCCGGCCAGACGCTCGGGACCGAAAGCTGTCTGCCGCCGGGCCGGGCGCTCGAGCCCACGTTCACGTCGCCGTGCAGTCGGCCTGCACTTCTGCTGCCAGGTCGTGCCACGGCCTCACGAGCGTCGCCTGCCACACGCCACCCACCTCGTCGCCGTCTCACAGCCTTCAATCGAGGACGGTGGTCGCGTCCCACCTCTCTGGCGGAATCGGTGTAGACTGCGACGTTACTTGGCCGGCGTCAAGAGCGCAGCGGGCCTTTCCTACACGGACTTTTGTGGGAATTTTGGCCTCGATATTCTACGCGCACGAGTCGTGTGTCGGCGCCCTGCCCCTGCCTGGATCGCGGTCGCCTAGGCAGGTAGGCTAGGCTCCTTCGACGGTCCAAACGACACGCACGCAAGGTAGGCTCAAGGCGCGCTGCTGCCAGAGGATCGCCGAGGTGCATACATCCGTCGTCCCGCCTGCCCGAGCTGACCGAGTTCAGCAGCGCGCTCCGTTACGCTCCGCCAGTCGTGAAGGCAAGGGCCGCCAGGCACACGCGCCGACGACATGCATGCTAGACTCGAGAAGCCGCCTCCTCGACTCGGCCAAGGGCATGGAAAGTGGCGGCCGTAGCGTCGCCTGGCAACTTGGGCCGACAGTCCTAGGCTTGAGCGTCTAACACGGCAAGCAGCAAAGGTGCGGGCGGCGTACCAAGCGCCGTACTGTACTGTACATGGATGCGGCGCCATCACCAGCGCATCTTCATGGCTGCGCCACCCGTGCGCTGACCTTGCTTGCACAACAGGCCACCTCGGCGTCACACGCCTCTCTCTACCGATATGGAGCTCGCGAGCGTGGTCTCCGGCCGAGGAGCGGTGGGTCCTAGCCCAGGCTACGCTACGGCGGTGGTGCTGCCTGCATGCCTCGCCCTTGCATCCGTGGCACGCTACGCTACGGTACCGACCTCTTTCTGCCTGGTCAGGGGCCAAGCCGCCCCAACAAGCAAGCAACAAGGCCTGTCTTGTGCCGAGCCCTTCGTTGGTTTGATTTCGCTTGTGTCGAGTCGAGTGCACTTTGTCGAGGGGCCCCGACAGAGCGGAGCCCACGAGTACGTACGTAGGTGGCAGGCCCCGGCTAGAGGGTGTAACACTCAAGACTACCTAGCCCGTCGTCGGCGGCAAGGGAGGCAGGATCCACGCACATGCCTCGCGAGCTCCTCTGTCGCCTCGACGATCCGGCCTCTCCCTCTCTCCTGCTGCGATCGACATGATTTCGCCTGGCCTCTGCCCGCCGGGTCGCTCGCTGCTGCAACACCTTGGGCCCTTGGCTCGCCATCGCCATCGTCTCGGGGCGTACTGTAGGCTGCTGACGGACTGTCCTCTGTCTGGATGACTCTTGCACCTACTGCACACTGCGGGGACCTCGCAGGCCACAGGCGGGCCGGGCAGGGCAAGAGGCACAGCAGGCACCTGCACGGCAGGCCAGGCTGTATGTAGCGCGCGTGCGCCTCGCGCTGTGTATGCAACGTATGGCAGCAAAGTTGACGCACGGGCGCGCCAGATGTCATGCCCGCCCCATCCGCCCTCACGACCATCGTGACGGTTGCCGCACCACCACCACCACCACCGTACCGTCACCCTCGCCACCTTGCTCGCACTCCGGCAAGCCAGGGGTCGAAGGCGGACCCCCCTTCCCGTCCTCGTCCTTGACTCCCCTCCTCCCTTCCTCCCTTCCTCCCTTCCTTCCTCCCCTCCTCTCCTGCCCCTTGCTCGCTCGCCTTGCCTCACCGTCCGCCTACACCCCTCACCGCCCGCGAAGGCCCGCCTCGCCCTGCGGTACGAGCCGTCAGCTTCTGACCATCAGCATCGTGATCCATCCTGCGCCCCGACAGCTGCATCGACCCCAAAGTGACGCCGCGTTGAACCAACATCACACCAACTCGCGCGACGCAGACGCCCCAGGAGACACGACAGCGCCATCGCAAACATCGGCCTCTGCAGAAGATCCCAGCAGCGTTGAGCGCACCAGAGTGCGTGTCCTTGCATGGACTGCCTCTCCTTGTCGATATTTTCCACGGCCAGTGCCAGCAGCACCAGCCAGCCTCTCTGTCGGGCCTCGCACCTCTCCAACCAACCCAAACAGTCCCGGTCGTGACTCCCACACTTCCTCCGGCATCCGCCTCCCGATCCGACCCGCCAGCATCATCCCATCGTCTTGCGGTCGACCACTATCCAATCTCATCCGACCATCATCGAGCATCCCGACGCTCCGCAAGATTTCAGATCGTCGATTCGCGACCCTTCGCGCGACCGCTCGATCTAGCGCTATATCGCTCCATCTCACGAGGCCTGACCGGCATCGACGCGTCGGCCTGCCTGCTTGGTGAAGGTCCAACAACCGACGACGCGCTTGCCCATCCGCCCCGCCGCGGAGGGCCACGCCAAGATGTCGGCGGCCACGATGAGGCATCCCTTCAGCAACTCCTTCTACGCCGAGTCCGAGGCCACCGATCGCAGCAGCTTTGTCGAGCCTATGGCTTCCGGCTCGAACGCCAACAAGACCCGCGAGCTGGCTCGGGCCGTCGGCCGCGACCTGGCAGGCCCGCCGCCCTCGTTCAGACCGCCCTCTGGCTGGTCTGTCGATGGCAGGAACGCCGATGTGGTCTGGCAGGGCGACGGCCCGCGAGGCGACTCGTTCCACGAGGACCAGTTCTCAGACGCGGAGAGCTGGGACGCCGACCACGTCGCGGGATCCGCATTCACGCCGGTGATTGACGACGACGGCAGGAGCACCTTTGGCCACGTCCGCACCTCGAGCGTCGGCAGCTCGGTCTTTGCAGGCCGCGGTGCCCAGCCGGAACGCAAGAGGAAAGAGGCGCCACCGCCGCTGCCGCTGGTGCCGGCCGAGCACCTGATCAGCGTGGGCAAGTCGGCGGACAGTCCCGTGTTTGCGCTGGTAAGCCCCGCCACCGAGCACAGCATGTACGAGAGCGCCGCGGATCACGACGGTGGTCCGGCGGAAGGAGATCGCACAGCCCGATCAACCGCTTCGGACCATCGCAGGCCCATCGGCGAGTGGCAGATGCCGCGCTCCGGGACGACATCCTTCGTCGGCAAGGACGACGAGGGAAACATCCCCTCGAGGAGCTCCTCGCGTTCGATCGCCTCGATGCGGCGAGTCTCGAGCCGCGAGGCTGAAGAAACGCAAGGGAGGGTGGCCTCGCACGGCTTTACCGACAACATTGGTGGCGAGGGACAGTCCAGAAGCAGCGCGCACGAGCCCAATGAGCACGCCTCATCAACCCCATCTCGAGCAGCGTCGTCTCTGAGCGATGCCGAAGCCGTGCGCCGCTTGCCCGATGGGACCTTGATCCCCAAGATGCCGCCGATCCCGAGCGCCGATGAAATGCCGCGTCAGCGGTCGACGAGCAAGCAGCGCAACCGCAAGGACCGCTCGCCAATGGTGATGCCCGAAGACGAGGCCGAAGACGAGGAGCGCAAGTACCTCGAAGAGATCGAAGACCCGAAGCGGATGAGCACGCTGGGGCCCAGACTCAAGAAGAACTCGCCTGCTCCCTGGGAGCTCACGGGCTTGGCCGAGGAAGAGCCCCTGCCTCGGCCTTCGCTGCGAGATGCGCTCAGGGGTAGCAGCGATGGCCAAGACAGGTCCTTTGGGCGCTTCCGCAGCAGACCCTCGGTCGAGAGCCAGGCCGCTCCGAGCCGGCACGCAGCACAGACGGCGTCGGGCCTCGGTCGCAACACCACCATCGCTTCGCTCGAGGAAGAGGCGCATGCGGAGGAAGAACCAGGGCCGCACAACGGCGGGGCAAGCACCGAAGGCGGCTCGTCGTTCCTTGCTTCGCAGCGCGCCAGATCCAAGAGCGTCTCCACCAGCGCCGCTGCCGGTGTGCTCAAGGGTCTTGGCCTGGCCAGCTCTGCGGGCCCGGCTTCGAAAAAGTCGAAGCTGGTCAAGGCGTTCCGGCTCGGCCGCGAAGACAGGAGCAGCAGCACTGACGGCGCTGGCCCAGACCTCCCCCACCCAGCCTCGACGTCAGGGCCGACAGCTCCGTACGCACATCGGCCCCAGCCCCTGGCCCGGTCGATCGGCTACAAGAAGACGTCGCAGGACAGCGCATCTTCGTTGCCATCACCCACCGACCGTTCCGCCGGTCCGATGGCGGCGGCGAGGAGGCCAAGTCCCGACCTGGCTCAGCTGATCCAGGCCGCCAACGGCAAGTACCAGGACCAGGCCTACTCGCCCAGCTCGTCGCCGAGTCTGGGCGGACGCAGGCCGCTCTCGCCTCGCGTCGGCAACGGCGGGCTGTCGCTGCCAACAAATCGATCTCCTGGCTATGTCCCTGCCGGCGGTCTCACGGCGAGCGTCAGCAAGGACAGCCAGCTTACCGTCTCGCAGCTGCCATTGTCGACGTCGTCGCGATCGCTGGCGGAGGCGGATCGCACCAGTGCACCGCCCCGGCCGGATGCCTCGCAGCAGCCCGTGGTGTCGACGCGCAGCGGCAGCGGCGAAAGCTCGCGGCCATCGACGGTCTCCGAGAGCAGCACGTCGGCCGGCAAGTCGTCGGGCCCGATGCCCGCGAGCAGCAAGTTCCCGGGCATTCCCGACGGCGCCCTCCCGCTCTCGAGCAGCGCCTCCGTGGGGTCCGGCGCCGCAGGGCTGCCCATGCCAGGCTTCCACCACGGCGTGCAGTACAAGCTGATCTCACTGGAGCAGGCGCGCGAGCAGATGAAACACTCGCACGACCGCTTGGCGCCCTCGCCATCGAACCGCGACCATGGCCCGCACTCGTCGCCCAACCTCAGCGCCGGAAGCGCCAGTCCGATGCGCCACTCTCCGAGCATGCAGTCCATCCACTCGGCGCACGGGGATGAGCCCCGATCCCGGCAGCCCTCCGAGGGCGGCCTTTCTCAGCGGGCCATCAAGAACAAGAAGAGCAGCCTCTTCAGGATGGGCAAGAAGAAGGACAAGGGCTCCCTCCACGACATCGACGGTGCTGAGCTAGGCTCGGGCATGGGAGGCGCTCGCGAATTCAGCGGCACCGGCCAGGTCGTCGGACTGATGCCCTCGTTGAGCGTCACGGGCTCCGAGCTCGACGAAGGCTCGGCCGCCAACAGGAAAGACGTTCTCGCCGAGACGCCGGCGCTGTCGCTGCGGCCGGTGAGCTCGATGTTCTCTGGACTCGGCGCCAACTTCCTCGACTCGTCCATCTCCGACGCTTCTGACATTGCTCCGCACGGCGGGCCCTCGTCGGCCCTGACGGCCGGCACCCGAGGACTGCTGGCGCCGTACTCGCCGGCGCTGACGTCGCACTCGCAGGAAGGCAGCAACCGATCTTCGACGGGCACCAGCTTCGAGGACGCCTCGGAGAGGCTGCGCACTCCCGTCTCGGCCTCTCCTGCCGGCTCTGTCCGCCGGCCGAGCGTGGCCAATATCTCGCCGACGCCTCACACGGCCGCGGTGCCGGGTCCAGAGGTGCCTGGATCGGCCGGCAGTCAGATGAGCGTCAAGGCCTCGGTCCACTCGGTCGATCGGATGCCCAGCCTCGACGCCGGAGGCAGCACGACCAGCAGCCACTCGCGCTTCCACTCGCCAGCCACCTCGCCGCTGACGCCGTCGTTCAACAACGTCCACCATCCCATCCACACCAAGCGCGGAGGTCTCGACGACCATTCGCTGAGCACGCACCCACGCAGCCGGGCTCGGCCCGATGCTACGACGGTCAACATCCAGAGCATCGCCGAGGCGCGGCCCGAAACGTGGGCCAGCCAGCAGAGTGGCAGCGGCAGCGGCGAATCGGCTGCTGCGACCGCATCGCACAGCCTCGGCGTGCCCAGCGGCGGCAGCGGCACTGGCAGCCCAAAGCTGGGGCCGGTCCCTGAGGAGGTGCGGAAGCGGGCGATTGAGATCGAGGTGCAGATCAAGCAGCTGGCCAGCGAGCTGCACCAGCTTCGCGACACCCACCTCTCCACCGTCAGCGCCGCGAGCTGGGCATCGGCGGTCGCGTCGGCCGCGTCGGACGCCACGATGGCCGAGGGGACCGACGGTGCCTCTGCGCCCATCAAGAGCTGCCCCTGCTGCGGTTGCGGATGCGCCGAGCAGAGACGCCTCCAGTCGCTCAACGAGGTCGCCGTGCTCAAGGGTCTCGGCGTCCTGGATCGCGGCCGCGCGCTCAAGCCGTCGTCCAATATGGGCAACACGGGCAAGTTTGGCGGCTACACCAACCGCTAGGCATCGACACTGTCCGCTCGACCCCGCTTCGCCCGCTCCCGAGCAGCCTGCTCTTTGCCGTGCCACCGTCCCTACGCTTCCCCCAACCCCATCCCTCCCCCATCCCTTCCCTCCCCCTAACCCTTCAGAGCAGCGACCTCGTGCCGCCAGATCGCATCGCCCGAATCGTTCCTTGCTCCGGTCTATCCCTTGTACCCGTATACCTTCGTTGCCCGCTCTCGATCCTCCATCTCACAAGTTCTGTATCAATCCGCACGGCCCGGTCGGACAACGGTCGCAAGTGCGGCGGCGGTCGATCCGATCGCTCCCAGCCACGCCCGTGTCTGGCGCCAGGGGAGTGCAGTTCAGCCAGAGGCGACTCGAAGGAGGGCAGGGTACAAGTACAGCGGCAGATTGGGAGATCTGCCATCTAATCGACGACGACGGCGAGGGCTTTGTGGATCTTGACTTCCTCCTTAGGCCTGGATCACAGCGGCGGCACCCAAGGACAGCGAAGGGGTCAGAACGGGGCCCTGCGGAACGGCCGGGATCAGCAGAGGGTACGCACCGGTCGTTTGAGTCGGTCGCGACGAGGCCGAGCCGCTGGACCACCTTGATGCCATCCGACACGCGGCCAAAGATGGTGTGCTTGCGATCGAGGAAGGGTGTTGGTGCCAGGGTGATGAACTGGCGGGGCGTAGCCGCATCAGAGGAGAGAGGCGAAGAAGAAAGAGATGGACGGTCAGAGATCTCGCGGAAGGAAAGAAAGGGCAGTGGCGGAGGGGGGGCTGTCGATGCCAGACGTACGAATTGACTGCCGTTCGTGTTGGGTCCCGAGTTGGCCATGGCAAGGATGCCGGCGCCGACAAAGCGGAGCGCTGGGTTGATCTCGTCGGCAAACTGAGGGGCGGAGACGGGCCACGATCAGCTATCCGCAAGATCGAGACGGGGCCAAGGGCCGGAGGCTCACCTTGTCGCCGTAGATGGACGTCCCGCCTCGACCTGTCCCTGTTGGGTCGCCGCCTTGGATCATGAAGTCCGGGATGCTGATCAGACCGGGGTGCAGAGGAGCGCGATGTGGTGAGTCGCAGGGCCAGGGATCATTGTGCGGAGGATGTCAAGGGTGAGGCCTACATTCTGTGGAAGATCTGCGGGGCAAGGAGGCAGCGTCGAGGGAGGGGGGTCAGCCAAGTGGCCTCGCTGGCGATGCAGGGCTGGGCGGCGATGACTTACCGTGCCATTGTAGTAGCCCCTCTCTGCTAGCTTGTAGAAGCTGGTGGATGACGGGATGTAGCGGCAGAGAAGCGATGCGGGCCATCAGCGTCGTTGCACACGGTGAGTCGATGGCAAGGCGAGTAGGTGGTCCGACAGTGCTACTCACTTCTGGCACGTCTTTGGAGCATGATCCCAGTAGAGCTCGACGGTGATGCTTCCCATGGAAGTCTGTAGCGTCACTGCGCCGCTGTTGATCTGCTGTTGCGACGCCATGTTGTCGTCAGAGAGGGGAACGGAGGATGCAGACCGGTTGTGAGGAGGAGAATGCGGAGGAGCAGGATGAGAGGCAGGTAAAGGTGAGAAGGAGGGAGGTGGAGTCGAGGCAGGGTCTCGTCTGGGGACTCGGAGCCGGCCATGCTGGAAGGAAGTGCGCACGGGACACGCGACCAGAGAGGGTTGGGGTATTGGGCCCACGTAGTCGACTCGACGCCTCAACCTCACCTTCCCCTCACCCTTCATCCTTCTCCCTGCTCACCACAACGACAGAGCGCATCGCCTCTTCAGACCGATTCGGAGGCGCATCGTTCAAGCGCCAGGATGGCGTCCCAGTCGCACGCCTCTGGCTCGTCGAGCCAGCCACACGCCGCCGATGCCGCCACCTCCTCCTCACCCACCAAATCCAGGCGCGCCAGACATGCCCGCACCCCTGCCTCGCTCACCTCGAGCGCAGGCGCAGCCCCTTCCATCTCGTCAATCTACGGCAGCGGCTCGCAAACCCACTCCTCCATCTCGGCATCCGAGGCCGTCTTCACCTCCATGGGCCTCAATCCCTTCCGCACCGACCCAGACGAGCTCTTCAACACCCTTTCGGTCAAGCAGGTCGAGACCTATGCCAACGCCGTGCGCCAAGCTGCCGAGAGGAAGCAGTCGGACCTCCGCACACTCGTAGGGGAGCGCTACCAGGACCTCTTGGGTACCGCCAACACCATCATCGGCATGGCAAACAGCTCGTCCCAGCTCTGCAAGCGTCTCGACCAGCTGCACGATGGCCTCGTCGCGACCGGCAAGCGCGCCTCGCAGCAGTCGGAGAGGAGGGTCTCTCGGCGCCTCAGCTCCTTTGCGATACCAAGCGTCGCAGAGCAGCAAAGCCGCGCGCGCCATGCCAACGACACGGACCACGAGCTCGACGAGGCAGAGCACATGTACCGGCTGGGAGCATCGCTCAAGACAATCATGGACGCTCCCGAGTACGTCTGGCGAACAATAGAAAAGGGCAAGACGCTGCATGCTGCGTGGGCCTTTATGGTGGCGCGGACAGTATGGTGGGACCTGATGGAGCGGTCGCCGTCCAACGACAAGCGATCGAACCCAGCCGAGGGCAATGCGGAGCGGGCGGAGCGGGGCCCGCAGATCGACGTCAAGGCGGCCTTTCCCTTTATCGAGAAGCAATGGCAGGGTCTAGTCCCGATGCGCAAGCAGATTGTGCAGAGGGCGATCCAGCTCATCGCCGACTGCGACCTCGGCTTCAGTGCCACCGCCGACCAGCTGGCTGCCATCGTCCTCCTGGACGGCACACGGCTCGAACAGACGTTTGCCCTGGTGCTCTCACAGCGCAAGAGCACGCTCAAGAGACACGTCCGGCGGCGGTACCCGAGCGCTGCCTTGGGGCAAAGGCGAGGATTCTCGGACGAGCGTAGACCGTCCAATGTCGCCTTCGACCGGGCCTCGACGGTGCAAGGAGCCAGCGGCATCATCGACGGGAGCAGCAGGATCCTCGATCGACAGGAAAAGGCCGAGGAGAAGCAGCTCGAGGCTGTCCTGCACAACGTGGTCCGAGGTGTTTCAAACACCTTGACGCATCTCGTCCGTGCCTACTTCCTCCCTCAGCAAGCCAGCGAGGGGTCCCTGCTGCTTTTCGACGAAGATCTCACCAACAAGATGGGTCCGCCGGTACAGCCATATCTGTACGAGCTGCTGCATCGATTGACGCAGCCGCCCGTCATGGCCGGCGACGATGCTTCCACGTCTCCCGGCCTTGCCAGACGCGCATCGATCCTGCAGAGTCCGCAAGTGGGCAGAAGCGGACACCAGGGACACTCGCCATCGTCGACAAGCCCAACCGCGCGGCGCAGCGCAGCACGGCGAAGGTCAAGCTACGGGTTTAGCCTGCCCCTGCCGTCGACCTCCTCTTCAGCGACAAGGGCAGCTCCCGGCAACTCAGACGATCAGCACGCCGAGACACATCGTCGCCAGAGCCAGGCCGCGGCCCCGCCGCAAGCGCGGGTCTCGACGTACGAGATCCTGCACTCGCTGCCCAGCTCGCATCTCCTGCTACGCTACCTTCCGCTCTCAGTGCTGTCATTCGTCCCCTACGTGGAGCTTCATCCGCTCGACGAAGGTGCGCTCGACAGGCTCGCCAGCGAGCTCCGGACGTGGAGTCTTCAGCTGCGAGAGGAGCTGTTCGCACCGGCTCAAGATGCCGAAGGAAGGCCCGGCGACTCGATCCCGTCGCTGCTGTTGGGTCTTTCGAGGATAGCCTCGGTGGCCAAGCTCAGGGCCGGGACGATGGCAACGCTGAGCCGCTCCACGAGGACGGCTGAGCGCAAGATGAATGAGGTCCAGCGCACGACGACCGAGCACGGCCGGGCGCAGGGCGCGGTGCAGCTTTTCAAGGACGAGATGACGTCGCTCAGAGATGAGCTCGACAGGGCCTTTCTTGGCAGGCTTGAGGCGATACATGCCTCGTCCCTCGCTGCATGCAAGGCTGATGCCCTGCAAGAGGTTGACGGCATCGTGGCCGATCTGGACGGTCGGGAGACCGGTCGTGGATCGCTCGCTCTGCTCTTCGCCGAAGAAGGCGACGGAAGCGACGGCAACTACAGCCGGCTGGAAGGACGCAGGACGACGTCCCAAGGACGCAAGTCGCAGGCCATCAAGACGCCCGGTCCGACGCACGAACAGCTAGCCGTGCTCGATGGTCAGCTACGAGGTCGCTCGGCTGATCTCGACGGCGTGGTCGGCTCCCTTAGCCTCCAGCTCACGGTCATCTCGAGCGACACTGATGCCTTCCTGTCGCAGCGCGACTTCGATCCGGCGACCAGGGATGGGATCCGGAGCAAGCTTCGCCAGAGCCTGTCCGAGACGCTGCTTGGTCTGCTCAGCCAGCTCCAAGGCCGGATATCGACTCCCTCTGCAGCGCACACTCCAGCAATCGGCGGCGGAATCGAGATCGAACCTCGAAGAGCCCTGATGGCCAAGTTGGCGTCGCTCATGCTGCGAGACGGCGCACTCGCGCAGCTGGTGGCGACTGGGAAGGACTGCCATACGCAGGGCCCAGAGCAATCCCTGACTGCAGCCGCAAAAGGCTTGGTCGAGGTTTCGCTGCGGGACTGGGCCGATGTCGTGCGGTCTCTCTGCCTTTCGAGGCTATCGTCCACGGACGTCGATAGCGAGGCGGACGCCGGTGGGCCCTCGCGCCACCTGATCGATGCTCTTTCTCTCCTGGCCGAGGCGACGCTGCGCGCTGGAGTGGGCATCGATCCGGCCTCGATCGACGAGATGGTCCGATCCGTGCTGGATGCCCTCCGGCTCCACGTCGCTTCCGCCTCACGGGGTGAAGAGTCGGTCGACGTTGCGATGCTGGATCTGCTGCTGCGCGGCACGACGGTGGACGACGAGTCGGTGCGGAACAAGGTCGACGAGGCAGTGGCGCGCAGGTGGCTGGTGCTGGCACCGATCTCGGTCGGTGGCACCCTCGCGGTCAAGGATCGGAAGCGGAACGTGCAGGGACCGGGGCCGGCGGCCACGGTCGAGGATGTGACTCCGCTGGTGGGCAAGACTCAGCTGCCGCGATTCGAGGCATTGAGCCTGGGATAGTTGTTGGGGTGCAGGGGATGGAGGGATCCCCCCCATGCCCGGCCGCCGAGCAGGCAACTTGTCGCTGCGCAATGCCATGTCATGCCAAACCGTGCTGTCTGAAGCCGACGTCAGATAGGAAGAGGATCACCAGCACTCGATACAGAGAACGGAAGTCGGAGGCGGGGCCAACGAGGCAGGACGAGGGACCGAGCGCAAAGAGATCGAGAAGTGAACGGAGAGAGCGGGTCAGGCGGGTGCTAGACGCGTCGCCCTCTCGGCGGCAGACGAGCAGAGGGGTCCGGGGCTGGGCCGACGCGTAAAAAGGCAGGCCTCTTGGCTGCAGCTGGGCCTGCCAGACGAGGGGCGGCGGGCAGACGAGGGCGGGCGGGCGAGCGAGGTTGAACCGCACGGCGCGTTGGAAATTCCGAGGCAGGGCCACGGGCGGGCAGGCCCACCAGAATCGAAAGAGGCAAGGCAGGGCTGGGCCGGGCGGGCCTCGCCCCTCAGCTACCCTCACTCCACCTCTCGACCACCACCACCACCACCATCACCGCCGACCTGCAGACCCAACGCGACCCAATCATCTTTGCACCACAATTTTGCTCTCGATCGCTACTGGCTCCACCAAACGCTACGGCCTCTTGCGCTCCATCTCGGTCACCTTCCTCCTGCAACGTTTCCGGCTCGAATCAGTCTCAATTATCGTCGTCGCTCGAGCTCCGCCTCGAAACTCTGCCGTCAGCTCCGCCCAACAAAGGCCATACCGCATCGCCATCTCGTCTCAATTGGACGCACGGACCGGCTACAGTCGAGGCGCACAGAGCCCGTGCTCCTCGTCGACCCGTCCTCGCTGCCTCTCCTCCGCCCAGGCAGCGAAAGTCTTCTCAGTTTCGGCGGCGTCGCCAAGGGTATGAACTCCCATTGAGACGCCCAGAGACGCTTCCGCTTCCGACTGCAGGTCAGCGCAGCAACTTCCGCACCGGCACAACCTCCTGGATCTTGTCGTGGCGAGCCTGCCAATCGGAAGGCGCTCGTCGTCGCCATCTAGGTTCGCCGCCTCAGTTTGCCCCACCCAAATTAGCACGCCGGATTGCGCAATGGCTACCAGCGCTCCCTCTGCTGGACAGACTTGGCCAATCAATCCCGCTCAGGCCTTCAGTCCTTCGTCGAACCGCTCGAACCGCTCAAGGCAGGTCGTCAGCCATCACCCTGCCGCTGTCGGCATCAGCGGCATCTCGAGAGACGCCGCCATCCAGACATCGATCGCCAACGATCTCAACCAGATCCGCAGCGTTCAGGTATCGAGGCCGGCTATCGAGGAATCCGAGCACGTCCGCAGCGGCCGCATCTCGCCATCGAAGCCGCGAAGGCACATCGACAGGAACCTCCTGCTGTCGATCCGAGCAGTCCAGCTGCAGAAGCGTCCCGAAAGGCGCAGCTCAGATCGGAGCGTCAAGGCCGAGTCCAGCGAGCCCCCTTCTCGATTCCTCGGGCCCGACTTGTCCTCGACAAGACCCGCCTCTGCAGCCGCTGCTTCGCTAGCAACTGGCTCTCCCGCCGTCCCCGACGCTGGCGCCGGCGGTGACGACGAAAAGAAGGGCCGGCGTCCTCTGTCAGAGAAGCGCGACTGGTTCCAGCTTGCGGTACGCGGCCGCAAGGCGAAGATCGTCGCTCAGCAGATGGAGTCGTCCACGTCTCCCTTGCTCGATGGCTCCGACGCGGCCGAGCACCGGTCCGACGCCGTCAAGACGGCGGTTGCTCCTGCTGCTGCAACGGCGCCGGCGGACAGCGCATCCAGCGACCTATCCCTATCCGGTCTGGCGGGGCTGCAGACCGAGGTGATGGGTCCGCCGCCGCAGCTTCCACAGGATGCCGCCTACCCTCCGCTCGACCCCATGGCAGAGTACCTGGTCCCGGTCCCCGTCGGCAACAAGAAGAAGCCGGCCGCGCCGCCGCCGATGCGGCCAACGGCTCCCGAAGACTACGTCGCTCCCGTCGGCCGACACGGAAAGATGCCATACGGCCTCGCACTCGCCGTCCAGGAGGCCGAGGCCAAGAAGAGCTCCAAGGCCAAGCAGCCGCAGCCGCAGCAGCAGCAGAAGACCGCCGCAACGCCGACTCTTGGGTTCAATGGTTCGATGTTACAGGTTGGGTGAGTCACAGATACCCATGCTCTGACTTGTGGTTTCGATATGCGATTCTCTTGGACGTGGCCCGAACGGGCTGCAGTCGCATCTCGTCTGGCTGGGCTTCGAGGCTCGATGCGTTGTGTGCGGGTGGCCGCAGCTGGCGATCTCTGGCCGATCCGGATCGACGAGCACCCACCTGCGATGCTCCGACTTGCTCGACTGCATCGCAGGCGATGCCCGCCACCTCGCCCGGCGCTTTGACACCGCCAACAGCGATCATGGTCCGCCATTGCACCGGCATTGCTCCTTCCTGAGACAATGGCCGGATGGCAGAGTGGTATAGACACCGGCATCGTGCCATTTCTCTGATATCGGTCTCAAGAGAGAGCGGGAGCAGGGGGTACAGCAGGCGGCGGGAGGCGGGGCCGCGCGAGTTTCCAGCCGGATTTCGATTTTTCGGCCGGCCACTGGGCCGCATCGCGCCAGAGATGAGTCTCTGGGCAGCCGGAAAATTGGGGAGGTGGGGCAGGCGGTCCAGGCGCGCTTTGCTCGATGCACCGCTGGCCACTTGGGGGGGCCGCTGATGCACCCTGCCTGGCCATGCGAGGCAACCCTTCCACGCCTCGCCAGCGCGGCCCTCGTCTCCTGCCTTCGCCATGGCAATCGCGCCTCGCCGTTTTCCTCCCACCCTCCTTTTCGTCTTGCTTGCCCATGCCCCCCGCCAGCTCGGCACCACTTCTTGGTCGAGTGTCACGCTTGCACGGCCGCGGCTTCACCTTTCTCGCTCGCTCGTTGATGGTCGGCGACCGGGTGGCGACACCAGCTTGCCAGACAGACAATAGCCGCTCATTCCGGCCTTTTCAAGCGCTCGAGATCACCAGGCAGCGGCTGCTTTTTCGCGCCCGCTCCACTTGCTCGTTGCTCTCCTTTGACCCGTGCTGCGACGCCGCTGTCACGAAGTCATCAGTCTCATCTTATTCCTCCGCACGAGGCTAATCGTCAGCGCTTTGCCCCCCCTCTTTTGCAATTTCGCCGCCCCCTTCTTCACTTTGCCCACTCCGCATCAATCGCTCACCTCTACGACCACTCCTCTTTCTTCTCTGCTTGGCGTCAAACACCTGCTGCGCTTCCGAACTGGCAATGGCTCTCGAGTAGCGCTGAACAAGTATCTGGACAGGCAGCTGGTCCTTTCGAAGGTTCATCAGCCCACTCGAGCATCGACCCTCGCAACGCTGTAAACACGGCGGGGAACCGCCCTGCAAACTTCGGGGTTTCGTCCGAGCTCGGAACCGGATCGGCCTCTACCACGCGGGCTACAACGCCGTCGGTGGCTGGCGGCGTCGTGGACGAAGGCGCATCACAGTGGCTTGCGTCGCGGGACAAGGATCGGCAGTCTCGCGAGACGTCCGCTGCCGATGGAGGTGGGGCCAACGCGGACGACGCGGCCTCTGCCCAGTCCGAGCCCCTGCTCGACGGACCGGAACCGATCGAGCTGGATCCGGGGGCGATCACCACCTCGGCGCCTGCGCAGACCCTCGGCGGCGGCGCTGCCGCCTCTTTCGCCCCGGTCGCGGGTTCGATGGAGATCTCAGCCCCTGCCGTCGTGACGCCGAAACCACCGAGACGCTTTGGCTCAGTCCGCAGCGCATCGCAGCGAGCCACCAACTCGATCAGCGAGGCGTACGGAACCTCGGCCGGAGCGAGCCTGAATGGCAGCGTACGCTCATCGTCACCAGCCATGCCGTACGACACTATCGCCGAGCAGCAAGCTTCGGGCAGCGTCACACCGACGCAGAGCCTCGCAAAAGGCAAGAAGAAGGACAAGGTACTCCGCGTCGAGGCCGACCGCAACCGTCGGTCGGCTTCGGCGGCGAGTAATGGTCCCAGCACATCGGCGCTGCCTGCGCCGGCCGCAGGGTCTGCTCCCTCGGCAAGGGTCGCAAAGGACCAGCAGCAGCAGATGCTGATCCCGCCCGGTATGGTCTACGTCGACGGCGTTCTCCGTGTGGCGCCGGGCATCCAGGGTGCGCTAATGCCGCCCCAGGTGCCGCACTCGACGTCTGCATCGCTGAGCCACAAGATGGAGGACAAGGGCGGCTCCAACAACGACTATTGCGAGGTCTGCCGCGGCAACGGGCGCTTCCTCTGCTGCGACGGATGCCCGCGCAGCTTCCACTTCTACTGCATGAACCCACCGCTTCAGATTGACGAGATGCCTCCGTCGAACGCCGCCGGCCTCGTGCCGGCCTCGCGGCTATCTGCGAGCAAGGGCAGCAATGCCAAGGGCAAAGGCAAGGCAAACAATCAACGAGCGACGCCCGACAACGCGGCCGAGGAGAATCTGGAGGAGATGTGGTTCTGCAACGTCTGCGTAGCAGAGAGGGTGAGTGCAAGGTCGAACGCTGGCCCAGAGAGCGCAGCAAGGGTGCCGCCAGCTTCCTGTGTCGAGAATCTCCTCGCGCTGACGTCGGATGCTGAGAGCATGGGTGCGCTCCTTTTCCCCGTCCTCAGAACCCCTCGGCTTTCAAGCCTGGCAAGGGCTTCGGGCCTTTTGGCCCGCTGATCCAGCAGATTCAGCTCGACAACCCGCGCGAGTTCCAGCTGCCTGCCGAGATCCGCACCTATTTCAAAGGAGGTGAGACTTTCATCAGAGGTGCAGGGGCGAGCACCGCGCGACGCCCGAAGGCGGGTCGATCCATGCTCATACGCCGCCGGATGCCTTTAACATTGCTGCACGCTCAGTCGCGACGGCCAACGACGGTACCTACACCGATGCCAATATGCTCAGACAGCTCAAGCTTACGTGAGTGCCCTGCAAAGCAGCCTGTTCGTTGATCGTCTGCGCAGTTCAGGGGTTGATCATCGTCTTACTGTTCTTCCCTCGCCCTCCATCCGCCCCATCGACACCTCCTCGCTGCACAGCAAGCAAGGCTTTCTCGAGGATCGCGACCCCTTTAGGCTCAAGGACAAGGCCGGCAAGGCAGTCCTCTGCTTCCGATGTGGTTCGTCAGCTCTGCCTCTGCCTTCGACCGGCGGCGGCAGCACCACATCCAAAGCCTCCGAGTCTGCCAAGGTGGATGCGGCCGTCGCGAGCGGGCAGACGAGCGTCGATCCGACGATCAAGGAGGGCAAGGGGTGGCGCAAGATCGTCAGCTGCGACTTCTGCGCCTTGCACTGGCACATCGACTGCGTCGACCCGCCCATGGTCAGCATGCCGCACGTGTCCCGAAAGTGGATGTGCCCGGCTCACAGCGACCACGTGCAGCCCAAACGCCGCGTTCCACGCATCGGCCCAGCCGTGCCCCAGACCATCGATCTGCCGGTGCCGAGCGCTTCCAACATCGGGCCCGGGCGGCACTACCGCACGCGGGTCCTCAACAACGGCGACATCGACATTATCCCAGATCCGCTCGACACGTTTTTCGGCGCTGAGGGCGTCGGACGAAGCCTCGAAAAGGGCTGGGACGGGATCGCGGGTGTCACGGACGCGTACGTCACCAACTCGGGCGGCTCGGTCCTGACGACAAAGTACCGCTACCGCCTGCCGGAGAAGGTCATCCGCACCGATTTCTGGAACAAGGTCGGCGGTAGCGATCCGGCGAGGATCGGCGACATCTTCTACGTTGCCGCGCAGGACATCGCTTCGGGCCGGCACGGTGCGAGGGTATCGCTGGCCAGTGATCGCTCCGAGCCACTCGCGGGTACGAGGTATCGGCCATTCGGACAGCGAGACTATCCGCGCTCCGGGCTCGACTCGCTGGCCGACATCGCGATTGCGCGCCTTCTCAGCGACGAGCTCGCCCACACCGATCACGTCGACTATGTCCGGCCGTCGAGGACGCGCAAGCTGATCGAGACGGCGCTCCAGGTCGAGATCCCGACCAACGACGAGGTGCCCGAGTCGAGCCTGCGGGCCTCGCTCGAGGAAGAGGAAGAGGATAGGAAGCTGGCGGGCGACGGAGCGGATTTGGACACTGTGGAGGCAGCCGGAGCGGTGGCAGCAACGATGACGGCGGATCCGGAGCGCCGGGGCGACAGCGCAAGGAACAAGCGCAAGCGGGACGACAAAGGCGCCGATTCGGACGCCAGCAGCTCGCTCACCGACCTCTCCGACGACGAAGACGACAGTGGCACGGCGTCCACCAGCGTCCAGCAGGCCAAAGCCGTTGTTCCGCAGACCCCGCGCAACGCGGCGCCGGCTGCGTCGGCCGGAAGGATGTCGACCCCCCGACGTGGCCTGTCGAAGCGGAGCGCCGCCGCCGCTGCCGACGCGGCGATCCAGGCGGGAGGCGGGGGGACAGGCGAACGTG